AAACCCACGCAGACACGGGGAGAACATGCAAACTCCACACAGTAATGACCCTGGTTGGGTAAATGAACCCAGGCCCTTCTTGCTGTGAGGCGACAGCGCTACCCACTGCACCACCGTGCCGAGATAATTAACTAATATAAAAGGAGAAACTTCCTACGATGCATGAGGAAGAACCACCGAGAAGAATCCCCCCATTGACAAGAGAAAGAACCACTGAGAGGAACCAAGAGTCAATCGGAACCCAACCCCACCTCCCAAAGAACCAGTGAGAGGAACCAAGACTCGAAAGGAAGAATGTTCCAAGAACATGAAGAAGGCACCCTGATAAGAACCAAGACTCAAAAGAAAAGAATTCCCTAAGAATATGAAGAAGAACCACTGAGAAGAACTGAGATTCAAAGGAAGAATGTTGTAAGAGCATCAGGAGGAACCACCGAGAGGAACTTACACACAAACGGAAAAATGTTCCTAAGAGCGTGAGGAAGAAATACTGAGAGGAACCAAGACTCAAAAGAAAAAAAAAACCCTAAGAGCCTAAGGTGTGAAATACGGAGGGGTTCTGGGGGGTCCGGAACCCCCTATTTAACCACTTGGACACCCTGAATGTCTCAAACTCTTGGAGGGCCGGGGAGGGGGGTGGTCATGTCCCTGAAAACTTATGACGTCATTGTTCAGCTGTTTCACCCACAATCGGCTTCTGTCTTTGGTATTCTTAACTAACTAGAGCCGCAGCACTGCTCATGCCTCAGGGTGGCGCTGTAATAAATTGGTTCACTCAGTTGGTCCTTCATAGCCCTAGCAACTGCAACTATGCCCAGTATTCCTCAGAAAAACGTTACAATATGCCGTAACATGTTTGTAAATCTGAGAACCTGCTCAATTTTCCCCAGGAGATTAGTGTAAGACAAAAAAATAAGATCTCAGTGAATGTGTGGAAGAAGAACTGTTACCCTGCGCTCACACCGGCAGAGATTTTCACCTCTCGTCGCCCAAATCGCTGATCGCTCACTGCCTGTAAGCGTTTCTGAACTCAAGCGGACGGTCAGTTGCCATGGTTTCACGGATGCCTAAAACAAATCAGAGGCGTTAACGCTAAAAGTAAAAATCCCTGGTGAGAATCGCTTGTGTGCTTATTTTTATTTACTCCCCGTGTCTGTGCAGCCAGTTTGTGAGGAAAAACACTATTTGGTCTTTGTGATTACTGTCTAATTGCAGCAAAAGCACCGCCGCCATTATTCCACCTGTAGTAGGAACAATTATCTAGGAACCAAAAACAGAGCCTAATGTTTCACAGTGATAAATAAAAGCGCACTACGCTGCTCAGGGCTCAATTCCCATTAGTAATCGCCCACACCACTTCGCTCCTTATTTGCCTGAAGTTAAACTCCGGTCAAATTTGTCGCGTCGCTGACTCCGCCCACTTCACGTCACCAATGTTCGCACCGCCTCCTGTCACTAGAAATCGCCAGCTCTCATCGAAAATGAATGACCTCTGGCCGTTTTGTCGCGTCGCGTCACTGCCTGTGTGACTGCAGGGTTAAAACCATTTTATTGCAGCGCCGCTGTGGTGAGTGAGCAGCCAGCCAACCCTGCTGAACTCAACACCACTTTAATAGCATCATTACACTCTTTACTGCATACTTACAGTACTTTTAATGACCATGTAATTTGCAGCCTGTCACTATAATCCACTGTACGATCTTTATACGTAACCAAATGTACATACTGTTCATACAGTATATACGATCTTACATCTGCACTCTCTATACCCTAATACTGTATTTTGCACTTTGTATCTGTACTCTGCACCATGACAATAGTCTGATCATAATCAGATTTCTGCAGTTATCTGATTATTCAAATGGTCATGTAAACACCATACTCTGATCTGGAAATCCGATTAAGAAATCTGATAAAGAGAGCTGGATTTTAGCTCAGTAATCAGATTTCTCAGTGCATGTGAACTCTTACTCTGATTTCTTTCACATTTCTCAGTCTGCACATGCGCGAGAACAGACCGCAGTGCTGGGAATAAGCGAGCAGCGTCGCCGCGAGACGCAGCAAAACACTTTTTTTTGGAGCAACACTGAAACCAAACACGAAATGAAGGATTGAAATATTCTTCATCTTCTAGATGATGTGTGTTCATATTTACAGGTAAAGTGGTGCGATGTTTAAAAAAAAAACGCAGCATGAAGTTTGAGTTTTATGTCACGTTTACGTCACGTCTTCTTCTGTGAGTTTACTGGCTGGTTGTAAAGCAGAAATCTGATTACTGTCTGACTCATGTAGACCCAGAGTTTCCCATTATCTGATTACTCAAGCGTAAATGCGTTGATCGGATTACTGACAAAATGTGATTTTCCGCAGTTATTGAATTATCAAGTGCATGTAAACGCACTCATTAAAGTTGAATCTAATCTTATCTAATCTAATTAGTAACAGTTGTCCGAGGGTGAGATGAGTAACTGGAGTGTGATTTTTGCAGCATGAACACAAACAGTCCGACATGAAGATATAAAAGGAGGTGCACATAAAACGTGTAATGAATAATACCCACAGTGCAAGAAGAGACTCCTGTTGGAGGTGGAATATCAGATGATCTGCGCTTTGTATCTTGGGCAGGACTGCATTGCAAAAGGACTTTTAATCTTAAAAGAGACTCACTGGGACAAACCGAGGATAAAAAGAGCTCCGGAGAAGCACAAAGTACCAGTGCCGTGGCTCACTTCACCGAGACAGCATGACAAACATGAAAGGTTATTAAATGGGGGCATCTGTAAGGTTGGTTTGCCCTCTTTAATTTTCCGCAATTACAGAATTCAAGGTCCAAGTCTAATGATCACAGGTGACTTCTGGGTCACAGTACTTTGTAATCAGTAGTGAACTGGTAGCCAGGAGCATTAATAAAGTAATAACTCACATAGGCGTCTACCTGCACTGCTGTATTGTGGACTATTCTGGCTTATTAGGCATCTAATGGGACGTCTGACTTTGCCCAATATTAGCAATGCACTGTTGAAGCTACTTTAGAAACATGAATACTTGGCAACGAAGTCCTTATAAGAAGGTTGGTTCACTCAGTGGCCTTCTTGGCAATGCCAGGCAGTTATTTCTACCCAAGAAGTTGCAACCTAAATGTTAAGAAGAGCCATTTTGTCCTTTCAACAAAAATCAAGCCACAACATTTATGTCCATTTTAACATCTTGGCTGTAAATATGTCTCAGTATGTGCTGGTATAGGATAAAAATATAATATAAATAAAAACAAGTTAAAGTTTATTTATATAGGGTATTGTTTCAACAGGTGTCGTCACAAAGCAGCTTTACAGAAAAATCTGGGTGCGAGCCCCCATTAGCGTCGTCAATGGCAACAGTGGCAAGGAAAAACTCCATTAGAGCAGGAGGAAAAAACCTTGAGAGGAGCCAAGACTTAAAAGGGGAATCCATCCTCCTCTGGTTGACACCGGATAGGAAACAACGTTAGTATAAAATATTAGAACACAAAAACGGGGAAAAACAGGTGGAGCAACGGTTAATTAGATTAAGTTTATTAGCTTAGGTTTATGCAGCAGCAGCAGCTTTAGGAGCAAATAAAGCAAAAATGAAAACACAGACTTACTTTGCTTTAAGCTTTAGCTCAGCTATAGCTATTTTTTCTCGCATCTCCGGCAGGAGACTTTTCCTCAAAAGTAGAACAGTTTCCTGTAAAATGCCTCTCGACGTTTTACGAGGCTGAAGTCGCTTCTCATTCGCCAGCTTCTTGTTTGAATTTTCCCGTTCTACCTTAAATGGTGCCTGAATGTAACTGCTGCATCATTTAAGGTGGAACGGGAAAATTTGAAAAAGAAGCTGGTGAATGAGAAGCAACTTCAGCCTCGCGACTTTTTAGTGTTTGACAGTTTCTCGCTGCAGATTAAACGTATCAGGAAACCAGCTGGAGTGATTATAAACACAAATAAGTCCATTCATCTCTAAGTTACCAATGTTCGTCTTAAACCTTTGTCTTTTCGTTAGCTACTAGCTAAGCGAGATTGTTAGGTTACCAGCGTTCCGCCATCTGTGGTGTTGGCTAGTTGGTCTGCTAAGCTAATGTTATCTAGCTACACTAACATTTAACTGTAAAATTTTACTGAACACAAATTACACCATACATACACACTTACTCTTACATCATCTACTAGTTGCTCATGAAGGAATAATTTTAGCTAATTTACACTTAAATTCGCAGTCAGAGTTGTTGACTCTGACTGTTGGGCAGCTAGCTAGCATAAGTTAGCGTTAGCTGGCTAACTGTTTTGCAGTCATGTTTTTGATATAACAGGGGCAAATAAGAGTCCAGGCTCCTCATAAACCAGCTCTGGGCTTTCCTCACTAGCGCCACAATGTCGCCAACCCTTCTCCACTCGCAGCGTAACCAGTAAGCTGATTGGCTCTTTTTCTTGAAGGGCAGGACATTCTCTGCAAACAGACGCCATGTTGAGTGTTATGAGCTTTCCCATTCATATTTTAACCAGTGACGGGTCTCCTTGTTTATAAATGTTTCTTAAGTTGAACGTCAACATCAGTAATCATCACACCAGAAGAAGGGTGTAGAAGGGTGAACAGCCCATGCATTTGCTAGGGTTTATGGGGACAAACAATCCCTAGACTAAGGTCAAAGGTCACAGGCATTCAGGGTAATATATAGAGGTAATGCTAACATGGCTAATGAAAGCTGCCATTTTATTTGCAGTGATCAGCGTTTTTGGTTAAATTTCTGTGTTAAAACCTGGACAGGCTGCTAGCAGGTCACTTGGCAAGTCCCATTATCATTGGATCTCTAACAATACTGTAAGACAAAACATGCACAAAACCCACCTCAAAACACAGTCAAAGTCACAGTGTTGCTACATTCCTAAATATTTGAACCAAAATCTCGAACGCATCAGCCTAAACAGTTCATATAAAACACCCATTTGTGCCGAGAGACGTAGAATAAGACAGACAAGCTGAACAAATTCTCAGCAGGAGATACCATTTATTTAAAATAAACTTAGGTAACAACTATAAACCAAGTCACAGAAGAAAACAAAACAATATAGGTGAGGCTGCAAGGCGGTGCTGACGGGTCTATTTCCAGAGCTTCTTGATGGACATGTTCTTCTCGCTGTCTTTCTGCATCACCTGTTGACAGAAAGTTCTGTTTTAATCCTGGTAAATTCAGGTCCACTATGTACGTGTACAGTCAAAGGCTGTAGCTCATCTGTTGTTAAGAGGTCTGCTACCCGACTCGAGCATAATAAAATATGAAGTTTTGGGCCGGGTTTGGTTCAACATCAGGCTCGGTCTGTCTCTCTCAGGCTCTTTCTCTCTCGGGCTCTCGGTCTGTCTCACTCTCTGTCTCTCTCAGGCTCTCGGTCTGTCTCACTCTCTGTCTCTCTCAGGCTCTCGGTCTGTCTCACTCTGTCTCTCTCAGGCTCTCGGTCTGTCTCACTCTCTTTCTCTTTTGGGCTCTCGGTCTGTCTCTCTCTCTCTTTCTCTTTTGGGCTCTCGGTCTGTCTCTCTCTCTTTCTCTTTTGGGCTCTCGGTCTGTCTCTCTCTCTTTCTCTTTTGGGCTCTCGGTCTCTCTCAGGCTCTTTCTCTCTCAGGCTCTCGGTCTGTCTCTCTCGCAGGCTCTCGGTCTGTCTCTCTCTCAGGCTCTCGGTCTGTCTCACTCTCTGTCTCTCTCAGGCTCTTGGTCTGTCTCACTCTGTCTCTCTCAGGCTCTCGGTCTGTCTCACTCTCTTTCTCTTTTGGGCTCTCCGTCTGTCTCTCTCACTCTTTTCTCTCAGTTTCTAAGTCTGTCTCACTCACTCTCTTGGGCTCCTGGTCTGTCACTCTCTCTCACGTCTCCTTCTCACTACGGGTGCTTTGCCCCGTCTCACACTAACGGTGTATAATAGGAGACTGTGCTTGTGTTTATTATCAGTAAATTATATGGAATTTACTAATAATAAACAATAACGTTGTTTATTATCAGTAAATTGTGTGTAAAATACCTGTTTATCCCAGCAACTCAAGTGCTTAGTAACAAAGCAAAGTCCTGTAAAACCATGTCTGAGATCATCCACCACTGTTGCGGGGATGGGTCAGGTTCGGGCTCCATTTTCATGCCTGCGCTGACCTCTACTGCTGCTGCACAATTCATTAGTTTTTAAACCACAGGACCGATGTTGTCCCCATATTATTTGGGTGGTGGTTCATTCTCAGCGCAGCAGTCACACTGACATGGTATAGTGTGTGTAGTGTCGGTATGACTGTACCAGACACACAGTCACTGCTGCGTTGAGAGTGGACCACCGCCCAAAAATACCCAGCCATGACCGGCTGTGTGGCCAGAAACCGACTCCTGATAAAGGTCTTGAGGATGACTAACAAATTGTGCATCATCAGATGGATTACAGTCTATCTGTGCAACAGCAATCAGCTTTCAATGACGTGGACACTACATGACATTAAGCAAACTTTTTACACCAAAATGCTGCCAAAGGGGTCTTCCAGGCGAGTTCTGCTGAAGGCACACTTCAGCAGCACAATGAAAATATCTAAGTTCAATTCAAGGCAATTAACTGGACAAACCTTTGCGACCGCCATCTCGAAATCTTCCTGGGTTACATGAACTCTCCTCTCTCTCAGGGCGTACATACCAGCCTCTGTGCAAACACCCTGGGGACAGAAAGGAGACACTAAACATGATATCCAGCTACAGAACAAGTGTTTACAGTGTGGAGTTATGCTGTGGACGATAAAATGCCCCTGACATTAGAACACGTAGACTAGGAAATCACATCAGCAGAGCTGCCTGGGCTCCTGCCAGGTTGCTTTCAATGATACTAAACTTGCTAATGACAGTTACCTACTGAACTACCCCCATATGATCTTCAGTAAACTGGTGTGGTTCTTGTTGTCCACTTAACCATCAACTTAAAGGGGAATTTCCGCATATTTCAAACACTGTAAACAGTCAATTAGAGATGTCTGATCTCAGAGTGTATGATTCAATTTAGCTACGTTCACATTACAAGCCTCATTGCTCAAATCCGATCTCTCTGACAGGATGGTTCACACTCGTTTAGGTAAGTGATTCAAATCTGTCATTAATGTGACGAACCGGCGTCCTGAAATGACCCTCATGAGCACATCCTACTCAGTAACGTCACGTGAATGAATCACGTTCATCATCAGCACAAACTAACGAGCAGAACGAGCTTCGCTGAGAAGATAATTAACTCTGATCAGGTCTCAGCTTCATTATTAGAGCGAGACGAAGGAGAAAAAGGTGAGATGAGCTGCTTTTCCACCGTTTACAGGCTTTAACTTCTGTTCGGCGCTGCTGCCATGGTAACGCTGAATGACGGCGCAGTGGAAAAAAAGCACATGAATTCCAATCTGAGCGTCACATTAAGGCCGCATGGCCACGAATCTGATACGTATCCGATCTAGGACCACATATGAAAGTGGCTCAGCTCGGATGTGTGTGTCCACACATCAGATCTGAGTCACATTAGGGCAAAATCGGATTCGTGCCACTTCAGCCTGGTAATGTGAACGTAGCCATTCTTTGTGGATTATTGCGCCTTAAGTTGCCATGCATGTGTCTCTCTGCACAAATATATTTTAATAAATACACTGTAGGTCTAAATCTTCTGAAACAATGTGAAAAATGTCTCATCAGGCAGTGAAATCATAAGCATTTCATGTAATAACTCTCTGTGAGGGAGCTTTTAGAGGTGGACATCTGGTTCCTATCACCACCACTGTGAACAGTTCTGACTCATTAAGTTTCTCTAGAACAGAGTGTTTCACACCAAACCACTCTGAGTCGCTAGGTTTACATCTTAACCATTAAGATGAATTAAGGAGAAAAATACACTCAACTAGAGAAGCAAACGGCTTCTTTAGCTACAGGCCGAGCCAGTTAGCCTACCTTGACCTCTGCGCCTGAGGCCCCTGGCATCAGCTCGGCAATTTTCCGCAGGTTTATTCCACGGGTCAGGTTCATCTTCCGGGAATGGATCTTCAGAATGTCCAAACGAGCCTGGCAAGAAAGGACGACTGTGAAATCTCAAGAATGCTGCGTGATTTTGCTGTATAAATTTGAAGTTTCTGTTGTAGTCATCGAGTGTGTGTGTGTGGGACAGACCTCCTCGTTGGGAGGGGGGAACTCTATCTTCCTGTCGATGCGGCCAGGTCTCAGCAGAGCCGAGTCCAGAATGTCAATGCGATTAGTGGCCATGATGACCTGTAGACAGACAAAGAGACTGAATGATTTACTGTCACTTCTCCGGTGTAGAAGTGTTAAGGGCTGGACTCCAGAAACAGCCGCTGACAATGTAAATTACAAGTACAAACCTAAAAGTGTAAACAATGATAAACAACCTAATCAGTCTAATAACGACTGTCGACAGACGAAACTTTAGTTCAATCATGGAACCAAATAACAGAAGTGAATAAGTGAAACAATAGTATATTATTCTGTATTCTGCACAGATGAAACTTCAGCATATTGTATTTTAATTGTATTACTGTATGCAGTGGACAAATGCAGTGACTGGACAGCACAACTCCAATCAATACATTTAAGCCTTGGGTTGACTACACGACTATTAAAGGACTGGGCGTCTCGCACTGATTGGTTTTTGGCAGATTTTTTGGCGGACTGAAATATTGGGGATCCACACTAAATGATTAGGGATCACACACTAATCAAGTTATTGCTGAACCGAACAGAGCTCACTGAACTCCCGCGAAATATTGCGTTCTCCTGTTACTAGGAGACCCAAATAAACAAACGTGGAGCTGCTGCTGCTGCTGTTTTCTCTGCCGTTTGCGCTGACACAGTAAAGAAGCAGCAGGTATCATGTTTAAATGAGGCTCATGGATTTAAAAATGTGATCAGATTATTTTTTAGAGTTTTAAACGTACATAAACATCACTGTGCCTTAAACTCAGCTTATTAAACAGCTTCGCTCCACACGAGACTTTTTGCCATTTTTCTTTGTTTACTTGCTGTACTTTCTTCTTTCATGCTCTCAGTTTTCATTGGTTTCAGATTGAGTCATTGGCCAGTTTACACTAGGTTACACTCAGAGTCAGGAAAGAATCAAAACATGTTTGACAAACACTACTGGATTCTCTCTCCGACTGTCGACTCCAACTGACCCAAAAGTCTGCAGACTAGACCCGACTAGCTCAGACTCGGTCAGACTGAGAATCGGGGCTAAAATCAGGGTAAAAGTCGTGTAGAGTAACTCCGGCTTCAGCTGAAGCTTTACTATCTAAACTGACAAACAAGTCACAGAACCTTAAATGAAACCATGTTTTTTTGTTTCACCACACAAACAAACGCAGTTGATTTCCTCACACCTTAATGTTCTTGGTGGCCTCAAAGCCGTCCAGCTGGTTGAGGAGCTCCAGCATGGTCCTCTGCACCTCGCTGTCGCCCCCGGAGCCTCCCTCCAGCCGCGAGGAGCCAATAGAGTCGATCTCATCCATGAAGATGATGGAAGGTGCATGCTCACGGGCCATAACGAACAGCTCGCGCACCATACGGGCACCTGCAACAGCAAATTGGGAGTTAGAGATGAGACAAGCTGTAACCATGTGAAGACACACTGGAGCTTTTGGTAGCTGTTCTTATAAGGAAGTCATTTAGAGATTTTCAGAGACTTTCTTTTGACCGAGTCTCATTATATAACATTATAGAATGAGCAGCACACGCAAAGATGACTATATCTATGTATATTTTAATGTATTTGCTTGTGACGGTCAGTCACACTGAAACGAACCTGACCTTTTAATTGTATTTAATTAGCTTTATCTAGAGCGTTTGTTCTCATAGTCACTGAGCAACTCTGCACAGTTCAGAATTTTCCAGCTCTAGGGCTACGTTCACAGTTGAAGTGAAGGTTGAAGTGGCATAAATCTGATTTTTTGCCCTAATGTGACTCAGATCTGATGTTTTCAGAGCTGTGTGGACACGCAAATCTGATCTTTTCACATCCGACCTGAGACACTTTCATATGTGGTCCTAGGTCGAATATTTTTCCGATTCGTGGCCATGCGACCTTAATGTGACTCACCTTTTTCTCCTTCGTCTCGCTCTAATAACGAAGCTGAACCGGTTTGTTCACATTAATGACAGATTTGAATCACTTACCTAAACGAGTGCGAACCATCGTGTCAGAGAGATCAGATTTGAGCAACAAATCAGTTTTCAGCAAGGAAGCTTGTAATGTGAATGTAGCCTCAGAAAGAGCTTCTTAATAAGCCGATGAGTTAAATCAGGGGATCTACTGTATCCATGACACACGGTGAGGCCAGCTCAGCCGGCTCCTGCTTACCCTCGCCAATGAACTTCTGCACCAGCTCTGAGCCGGACACCCTGATGAAGGTGCAGTCTGTGTGGTGAGCCACAGCTCTGGCCAGCAAGGTCTTTCCTGTGCCGGGTGGTCCATACAACAGCACCCCCTGCAGGAGGAGCAAGAACAAAGCATGTGATTCTCACACAGAAAACAAAACAGGAGAAAGTGACTGCAAAACCTTTGATAGAAAACTTGCTACACATGATGGAACATGAACCAAGTCGTGAAGGTTGAAATAAATATTCAATGAATAACTTTATACAGTTAAAAAGTTCATTTAATTTTCAACAAACACTCCATCAACTTGGAGTGTTTTTGAATTGTACTCATGAGGGGAAAAGAGCGCACCTTATTCCAGTAACCCTACATAGTGATGCACAAGTGTTGAGTTCACTAAGACACTTGACTTCTGCTGCTGGAGTCCTCAACTCCACTTAATATTACCTGGTAGCACCAGAGTCGTTGATACAGGCATATAGCAGAAATGAAACCATCCTAAATGTACTTTATAGCTGTATCGCAACTAGGATAATTAGCCATGACACATTTCTAAGGTAGACTACGAAATAATAAATAAACAAAGTCACATTGCCTCTGTTCAGTGTAGCCTTAAGCTATAGCCAGCAAATGCTTGCTAGCCTGTGTAGTGAGTCCCATGACAAAAAAAGAGATTAAAATCTCCAAGCTGAGTTTTTGTTGATTGCTGTTTTAAGATAAGATAATCCTTTATCAGTCCCATAACAGGGAAATTCACAGTGCTACAACAGCAAAGGGATAACAAGGCACTCAAGAAAAGAAGTAACAAGAAGAGAATTAACCAGTAATTAATTTTTTAGGTTTTACAGTTTGTTACTTGTTACTATCTATCTATACACACACACACACACACACACACACATATATATGATAGATACACACACACACACACACTAAAAGTAAACAGATAAAAAACTCTATCCTTCACAAAAATTAACAATATAAAGGATTATAAATAAACAAAAGCAAATTATTTACATTGTAAGGATGTTTAACCCAAATTTCACAGGTTTGCGCCTGAGGTACTGATTTATGTTACACATGGGATGGTGAGGAGTTATATAAACAATATAAATATTATAAATAGAAAAGCAAAAAAGTTTTACGTCAGAGATATTTTAAGAATATTGCAGTACTGACTACATTGCACACAGGAAACGGTGATGAATTCCACAGTGTAGATGTTGTAGGTGAGTGAGGTCTAATGGGGGCGGTGGAGGAGTTTACTGAATCTGCATCTGTCTCATCCTGTGATCAAAAACGTTCCACAGCTGATGTTTTTTTCTATAAAAATTCTTCTCTCGAACATCTCTGGATCCTCTGAATTACGAGGTCATTAAAGAGCTGAAAAATGAATGTTGCTACATTTAAGCTGATGCTACTGCACACTGAACTGACTTCACTGGACTGGCAGCCTCCTTAAAAAAGCATGCAAATCAGCAGGCTTTGCTAAGTGTGGTAGCGAGCACCACAGAGCAGTCCAACTGAGCATGTGCATATCATTAGGACAGCACAGTAACTCAGTGTTTTAAACGTTTTATTGTGTTTTGAATGTTAATTTAGTACAGACTCGGCTTGATACTACTAGCTGATTTAGGGCATCAGAATACCCTAATTATTCTGTTAATGCTGGTAAGGTTATTGATAAAGATAATTTGCCAGCTTCTTGTCCAAATTTTCCATTTCCACCTTAAATGGTGCAGCCTCAGGTGCCAGAATACAGCTGCACTATTTAACGGGAAAATCTGAACAAGAAGCTGGAGATTAAGAAGCTGAGTTCCAAATATGGGCATAACGACAACTACAGGAGGACATGATTTTAGTGGTCTAATATCGACCAGTAATGGTTGATTATCACTACTTGCCATCTCCAACTTCATCCTCTCACCTTTGGCTGCGCAATTCCAAGGGCCTCGAACAGCTCAGGATGCTTCACTGGTAACTCAATCACTTCCTTGATCTCTTTGATCTGCTTGTCCAGGCCGCCAATCATCTCGTAAGTGGAATCGGGCACCTTCTCGACCATCATCAGGGAAACCAGGGGGTCCACTTTGTTGGGAAGGATCTTGTGCAGCGTGTAGCTGTCATTACGAAGTGCTACACGGCAATTTGGAGTCACCTGTTGGGAAGACGTTTCACATTTCGCAAACTTGTAGGGGCTACATATTCTCAAAAAAACTGGAGTCACTGTTGGAGTAAAAGGTTTAGAATCAATGTTTTCAATAATATGTATAAAATGATTCAACTTTATAGGTTTCAAGTAATAATTAGTACAACATTACGAAGCTGGAGGCCACAGATGAAACTAAAAATTACTAAAAAACCTGCATCAAAAATGAAGTTATAATAAAATTAACATCCATAAGATCTCATTTCACAAGCAATCAAATCCTTAAGGAGATAACCTGATAAGAAATAATAGTAAATAGACGATTAAGCATGTCATACATCACTTACTGACTTTGTTGTTCCCAAAATACTTGAATACACTTATATTTGATAGATTTGTTACCACCAACACTTAAATCTACACTGTATATAGAATAAGACAAAGTACTAACATGACAAGTCTCACCATCACCACAAAGAAATAAACCAAGAAACAAGACTCACATCATTGATGTCAATGTTCTTGTCCACATCCACCACAAATTTCCCCTCAGGATGAACCTTAAAATAAATAAAAATATTATTTCAAGCAGAAAATGCCAGAAGAACAGTACAAATCAGAAGAAGATAAAATAAATAACAATTCAGCAAAATTCACCTTAACCAGGACTTTCTTCTTGTCCATAGCTCGGACCACCTCACCCACATAGGAGCCCTGCTCTTGCAGCAGCTGCAGCTCCTCCCGCAGGAGACGCACTGAAACAACGCATGCAACTTTAGTAACTTCACAAAAATATAGTCTTGGGGTAGTTTTTGCCCCATTTACCGAAATATAAACACATTTTATACACAAATAGAGCAGAAATGACATTTTTAACTTAGTCATAACACAATTTAGTGAACAGGGTTGTGTACCATGAACGCTCTACTGCATGAATTATTAAACATGATAAAATGTTTTGTGTTTGTTACTTGAAATTGCTTAAATATTGGAAATTTTGGGGAAAAAAATGCAACCTAAAATTTAACTTTTCTTTTTAATTTAACTTCTCTAAAAACATCCTTTTATACTTTTACTGAAAACAAGAACAAACAAATGCAACTTATATTAAGTGAAATGTACGGCCCAATATTTACAAATATTGGAAATTAATACAATTTCAGTTGGTATTTGGAATGTATGGTAATAACAATATCATAATAAAAATTGTTTGTCCTTTTAAAGTAAACGACCCTTTTTCCACAATTAAACAAGAAAACACAGATTTTATATCACTGCTTTTTAGTAAAATTAAGATAAAGTAATTGTTGCTATATGGCAACATTGTGCAGTAGAGGGTTAAAATGTTTTCAACATCCCTACCAGATTCCTTAATTTCAATGCCAATTCCTGAACAACACGTTTGCCGACACTTACAGGCCAAAAGCGGCCGTGACTTAAACTAAAAATGACCGAGAAGTCCTGGGAGTTTTTTTTACTGACTGTAATCGATTAGAGACAAATGAAGAGGTGCAGGAGTTCATAATGTGCTACAGAATGCAATTAGGATTCTAGATTGGACCAAGCAGGCCTGTTGGCTCATGGATGCTAAGATTGACTACTTGAGCACTGAAATTCAGTACTGAATGAATGTTTCGATACTCAGTAGTACTGAAGTAATTTAGTCAGTGATAAAAGGTATTGCTTTTCGATACACAGCCCCTAATTAATGAATTGATCTCAGTAGAAAATGTACAGATTAGTCAGCGCATAGATTCTGCCGTTTCTGTAAGTGGAACACTTTGAGGGCTTTTTTGTGATTTTACAGTGTTTAGTGCTGAAATTTAGCAGGGATTAAAAAAACAAAAGTTAGCCCTGATTTCTTTTAACACTTAACAGTGTAAGAGAGCTCAGCCACTAAACACTACCTTTGGCATTCAGCTCGTTCCTCTGGGCCTGCAGACGTCTGAGATTCTGGCTCTTTTCGTTCACCGTCAACTGCAAAAACAAAACAAGCTTGTGTTTCAATCTTGTCTAACAAACCATTATAAAGTGTGAATCAACTGCCTTCAAACAAACATGAGTATCATTAAAGGCATCATTCAGCAGCTTTTGACAAAACAAGAAACAAAACAAAGCTCCCAACCTGGTCATGCAACAATTACACGTTTAAAATATGTTAACATTATTTACAAGTAATAAACTTAATTATGCATTTTTCTGCTAATTTTAAAGCACACTCTTTATTTGCTGAGTTTAACATGATGGAAAAAGTCAAAGATTTAAAATGTGCCATAAATTTGGCACAGCCTACCTTTTGTGTGCTATTTTCCCCCAAATGTGTCAAATTCAGCAAATTAACTATCATTTTAATTAAAATGTGCAGAAGTGTGTTCTCTGTAAAGGATGTGTTCACTTATTTACACATTCATTTGACCAGGGGCGCCCAAACTTCTGCACATGACTATACCTTTTTCCAGTCTTGAAAGATTTTGTTGTCCTATTCTTGTGAGATAAAGTCAGATATTATGCAAGAAACTCCCACAGAATCTGTTCTTTTTTCCTGTTTGTCTGTTCACATTATCTTTTAAATGTGATCTCTATGCGACATCAGTCTGAACAGATCAGCTCCTAAACTGACCCACGTGCGCAAAAGAACAGAGCTTCTCGTTGCTTCTTGTGGCTCATCCAGACGTAAACAATCACAGCTGCCATCGAACGCCAGTCTCTCCCGGAGGTTCAGCTTCATCTTCACCAGCATCACAGGAGCCATCATAAAGCTTCACTGACTGACAGCTGGGCTCGTCACCCAGAATGTGTTCGAGCTCACAGTAAAAAGGGTGCGGTCACTTCTTTGGTTTGTGTCCTCGGACTCTTTAAACTGCTCTCTGACACCGCAGCCTCGCTCTCCTACAATCTTTTCAGACACGAAGCGGCTGTGATAAGCCTGTTCTAATTTTTTGTACAGAAACATCAGCCCAGATGTTTATGAGCCTCGGCAGTGCGAAATGATGACGAATGTTGAGTTGGACTGACATAAAAGTCGCATGAATTCTGATCTGGCTGTTCAGACTGAGTCGCACTGCTGCAGATCGGATACGAATCAGATTTCAGTACCACATATGAAAGCGTCTCAAATCTGAAGTGGAATTCTCAGATTGTGTGTTTTTTCCTGTTCACACTGACACACAGACACACATCTGTGTCACATACGAAGAAAAAGATCAGATTCGGGCCACTTTTACCTGCTGTGTGAACAAAGCCTCAGTCCCTGAGTCACTGTGTGCATCAGAAATCTTTCCTCCAAAAGATTTCCACATACAGTTTACTTGGTATGATAACGAGTTCTGTGGTTGAGCTGGAAAAACCTATTTTTTCAGATTTAGCACTTTTTTTGTACTATCACCAGCAGTAATCGAATAAGAAACATAAGCTGGCAAGTTTGTCTACAGTTAAACATTTCACATCAAACCACTCTGCCTTTGTTTACATCTCACCGAATGACAATTTAGAAAAATTGGTGGAATTGCCCTTTAAGTAGATTTGAATCCACGAAAATGGGAACAAGCTTATAAAATAAAGGCGTTTTCCTCACCTGTAACTCCTCTATTTTGGACAGGTAGTACTGTCGGAGGCCAGAGCCGCCTTTGCTCTCCTCCAACTCCATCTGAGGAGCATTAACATCAGAACAGAATCAGAACCAGAGCTGACAGAAGAGAACCTTACATGAAACTACACAGTTAAAAAAGATGGTTCTTCAGTAAAGACAGTGGTTGTCCATAGAACCATGAGTTCTATATAGAACCATTTCATGCTTAAATGGCTCTTCAGTCTGACGGAGAACGTGTCTATAAAAGAACCTTTTTGAAAATGGTTCTAGGTAGCACCAAATGGTTCTAATGCCACATGCCTGACATCAGCACAACCATCTCGGTGCTGTATACAAGTATTTTCAATAAAAGATTCTATATAGAACCATATACAAACACATTCTCCACCAATCTGAAGAACCATTTTACCATGCAAGAACCATTTAAGCATGAAGTGGTTCTACAAAGAATTCATGATCCTAAACAGAACCATTACCTTTACTGAAGAACCCTCGAAGAACCATTTTTAAGTGTGTACAAGAAGTCAAATCAGCGTGAGTAGACACTTCAGTAGCATTAGCAAGCCAAGTTAAAATAAAAGGACAGAATCTGAACAAGTAACACCAATTAATTAAACGAGGCTTGTGTAAAAAAGCAAGAACAAAGCTAAGAAACAAAAGGCAAAATACTAAATAATAAAATAATGTCATTTAGCTGAAGTTACAACAGTTAAAATCAGTTTAACTGTCCAGCCTGAGAAGCTGAAGTTAGCTTCTCATTCGAATTCCCCGTTCCACCTTAAATGATGCAGCACCTTCATTCGGGCGCCTCAGGAGCGCGAACGTAACTCTATTGGACTTCTACACCATTTAAGGTGGAACGGGAAATTCCAATAGGAAGCCAAGTTCAGCCTCCTAAGTTGACTGATAAAAGCAGCATTAAAGCTCAGCCTTCATTAACTAGCTTAACTCCAGCTGCCCCTCCGGTTGATTTATCTAAATTATAAGTTAATTACATAATAAATAAAATAGTTAAAGGTTTTGTGGAGCCGCTGCTCCGTTAGCACGCTAACGTTAGCATTAGCTGACCGCCGTTTACCACAACGCTACCGTTAGCCTACCAGCTAACAATGAGACAGCAAAGCGGCGTGCCGGCTCAAAAATAACGAGTCGGAGAGACGCTTTTCTTTCGCTTCACAGTTCCTCGTGTTAAATACCCGCGTATGAAAGGTGCAAAATGGCTCCAAAAGCCCTTGTTTGCGAGCCGCGCGGTGTTTAATTGGTTTAAATCAGAAGCACTTACATGGTCGAGGCCGTCCAGTGCCATCTTAAGCACAGCTCCAACGTTCAGCACGGCTAGTTTTGCAGGAGCTCGGCGGCGCCCTCCAGCGGAGCCCTCCGCCGCTGCATGGTTCATGATATACGGTAAAATCAGAGCCGGGGGAATCGGAGTCCGGCCACGTCCTGCTCTTATCATAAGGACTGCGAAACGCCAGAGGGCGCCCGCGAGCGAGTCCTCGGTGAATGGGGGTGAATGGAGCTAAACGGCTAAAAACGAACAGTTAAAACAGTTAATAACCACTTCTCCAGGAGCTTCCTTTAAATTTAGAGAGTAGAAAGATGTATTTAACTAAAAAAAACCGCTAAAAAACAAAGAAAAGCTACCTGTATGTTTACTTTATTTCTATAGCATACGGGTTTGGGGCAGTAGGACACTAGCATTACTGCTAGTGAGCGCTGACAGAGAACTTGTAGAGTGGAGAATTATCACCAGAGCCGGTTTATGAGGAGTCTTGCCTCTTCCTATTTCCCCTGTTATATCAAAAACAGGACTGCTAAACAGCAGAGGGCGCCCGCAAGCGAGTCCTCAATGAATGGGAGTGAATGGAGCTCAACGGCTAAAAGCAAAAAGTTTAAATAGTTTCTAATCACTTGCCCAGAACGTTTCTTTACTTTTAGAAAGTAGAAGAACGTATTTTACTAAAAAAGCAAAGAAAACTCGCCTATATGTTTCCTTTTTCTACAGCAAACGGGTTTTGGGCAGCAGAAGACGGGCATTACTGCTAGAGAGTGCTGATTGATTGGCGAGCGGAGCAGCTCATTGGCTGTTTGCTGTTCATTAAACATTTCACATCAAACCACTCTGACTTTGTTTACACCTCACTGACTAAATTATACACCACTTTAGAAAAATTGGTGGAATTTCCCTTTGAGTAGATTTGAATGACAGAGAACTTGTAGAGAGGAGAATTACCACTCTGTAATGTCTTCCGGGTTTCTCAAATGCTAGAGGGCGCTCCCGAGCGAGTCCAAAATGAATGGGTTAAGATGGAGCATTTGAGCAAATTCATAGTTTATAAATGATTAAACACTTTTAATGTAAAAGAATGCGATCATTTCCTGAACACAGAGCAGCATAAAACATTTTAACGCTGCTGTTATATTTTCAAGAGCTTTTAAACTCGAGTTGTAGGAGGAGTTTAAAACAGTGCCTCGTGTATGTTCATGACGTCTGTGAGTGTGAACAGCCAATGAGCTCCATTTACTCCCATTCATTCAGGACTCACTCGCGGGCGCCCTCTGCTGTTTTGCAGTACTGTTTTTGATATAATGGGGGAAATAGGAAGAGGCCAGGATCCTTATAAATCAGCTCTGGTGCTGATTGGTTGGCATTATTGCTACTGAGTGCTGATAGGTTAGTATTACTACTAATGAGTGATGATTGTTGAGCTGATGACTTGGCACGTACTGATGTCATAAACATACATGAAGTGCTGTTATAAACTCCTATAACTGGGGTTCAAAAGTGTCCAAAACTATAACAGCAGTGTTAAAGTGTTCTGTGCTGTTCTGTGTTCAGGAAATGTCAGAAAATATTGCTGTCGTCTGAAATGGCTGCCCTGTTTATTTTTATAATTCACAATAAGTCACACTCTGCCCTAAATCACATTGACAAGTCTGGACAACCTTAATTAAGACCTGGATGCTGTTTGAGGAGGTTGAGAGAAGAACTGATGATGTTTTTTCACAGAAACAGTTTGGGCTGTTTGGGTGACTATTGAGTTCCAGTGTTTGTTAGCTGCATTGGCCTTACAGCTCCAGTGCTAAACTAAAGAAGCAAAATTTGGGCACTAAACTCTTCATGGTTGATTGACTCAGTCTGGGGTGGGCTGGAAACTGTGTACATGTGATTTTTCACCAAACTAGTCCTTTAATGAAATGAACCCACATAAACACATTATTTGTGAAATACCCTTTCACTTTAAAATACAAAGGTCGTCCTCCTGTCTGTCATTCGCTGGAAAATAGATATCAAACATTATGACATCCCTCATGACAATTACCGGTAATGATAACAAGGCAGTTATATTGCTGGACATACATATGACAACAAAGGACATCAATGCTTATGTCAGTGTTGTGTAGAAGGTAGAAGGGTCCAAGTAAAGATTAGATTAGGTTCTTTATTGTCCTCCAAAGAGGAAATCTGTGTTCACAACCTGTGCTGTTCATACATTGTTCTGGGACATACAAGATCAGAAAATAACACACATTTGAATAAACACTATTAAAACAAACAGAAAGGACAGGAAACAAGACCCATCCATAAAGCACAAGGCCTACATATCAGTCACTCTCAATGACTACGTTCACATTTCAAGTCTCGTTGCTCAAATCCGATTTTTTGCTCAAATCTGATCTCTCTGACTCGATGGTTCACACTCGTTTAGGTAAGTGATTCAAAACGGTCATTAATGTGACGAACCGGCGTCCTGAAATGACCCTCATGCGCACATCCTACTCAGTAACGTCACGTGAATGAATCACGACCATCATCAGCACAAACTAACGAGCAGAACGAGCTTCGCTGAGAAGATCATTAACTCTGATCAGCTCTCAGCTTCATGATTAGAGCGAGACGAAGGAGAAAAAGGTGAGATGTGTTGCTTTTCCACCGTTTACAGGCTTTAACTTCTGTTCGGCGCTGCTGCCATGGTAACGCTGAATGACGGCGCACGCGCAGTGGGGAAAAAAGCACATGAATTCCGATCTGAGCGTCACATTAAGGTCGCATGGCCACGAATCTGATACGTATCCGATCTAGGACCACATATGAAAGTGGCTCAGGTCGGATTTGAAAAGATCAGATTTGTGTGTCCACACAGCCCTGAAAACACCAGATCTGAGTCACAAATCGGATTTAAGCCACTTCAACCTGGTAATGTGAACGTAGCCTATGAGAGCAGCTTTAGATCATCTGTTTCAGTGGGGCAGCTTATTAAGGGCTGATGTGGCTGAAGGTAAAAACTGGCTTTTTCACACACTGCTGTTCTGTATCTCCGGCCTGATGGAAGTAAAGTGAAGAAAAGGTGCCATGGGTGGGCGGGGTCTTGTACTGTTGTGACGGCCCCTCTTAAAACAGCCTCATTGTTCAGCTTTGACAGGTTGTGTGTGGGGAGGCCTGTGATGACCATTAACCCTTTGTTGGAATATGAAGGCTAAAAACGGAGCAGCAATATCAGTATTTTAGGTGATTTTCCGAGCCAAATTACTCACGGATGCTGACATCACAGCTCGATGATGTCACGCTAGCTAGTTAGAGCCGGGGCTGCTGAATGGTCTGATGTGTTTATCATGTCTGTAGCTTAAACCTGTCTTATCTATGGGTTTTTTTCAGCAGGGATAGTCAAGAAACAGGTTCAACAGTACAGCGTAATAGGCTCAGTTATGTTTCTGTAAAGGCAGTGAGAGCAGTGAAGGTGCTACATGAAGTGCTCTTAACTTTCTAATGACAGAAAGTCTCTGCTGGCATCTCTTGCAGAGGTCTGTTACATGCTGGTCAAAGCTGATTGTGCGTTACCCAGTCAAGCAGCAGTCTAAGGCCCAATCCCATTTCACCCCTTGGCCCTACCACTTAGCCCTACCCCTCCGTTTTGTGCCTTCTCATCTAGGGCGTCCCGGTTTTTGTTGAGATAGGGGGGTAGAGCGAAGTGTTAGGGCTGCATGGTCCTCCAAACAGGGGGTTTTCGGAGACTCCAAACAGGGTGATGTGAGAAAATAAGAAAAACTAGCAAGAAGGCTGAACAAGAGACCAAAGAAACCCACAAATGTGAGAATTTTCTCAGATAAAAAGTTACAATAACCATTTTATTACCTTAGTTTAATGTCGTTTCAATGTATTATGGTCCTTTTAATCATAACAAGCATAAAAAATCACTAGCAATATTGATGTCTTGGTAGCTAGCTGGCTAAATTTCCCGTTCCACCTTAAATGGTGCAGCAGTTACATTCTGGCACCTCAGGCATCAGAACTGCTGCACCATTTAAGGTGAAATGGGAAAATTCGAACAAGAATCTGCTGAATATCTGACTTCAGCTTCATTTCACTGAAGAATTAGGGGTGGGTGATAATTGCCCCCCTCTTTGAAGGCATATGATGCCCTAAATGTAACTAAAGCCCAGCAGTGAGGAGCTGAACTTTACCCTCCTCTGCTGTCACTGCAGACTGGCAGGGTCGCCTACAGAGCAGCGCTGGTAGCTGTTAATAAAGTGATGCTCTTTTTATTTGAGGGTCCCATTTCATAGAGAAAGACTCCAACCACTAAAACTTGTAACACAATTCTAAGGGGCAAGGTGACCCTCGTAAACAAGGGGTAGAGGTCAAAATAAGAAATAGGATTGGCCCTAAGGTGCCTACAGTCCACCTGCATGTCTCAGCAGTGAGGCGACCCTGTTGAAGCCTGCCCTTCTGTAAACAGTCACACATGCCGAGCCCAGCAGGCCAGCGCTCGAGGAGGTGTAAGCCGAGACCACAGTCAGACAGGTGTGACCAGACCGGCCTGTTTGGTCAGATAGCAGCTCAAAAGAGTCAGAGCAGCGCTTTTCCTTCCTCCTTTCAATTCTATACAGGTTCAAATCTAATGTTCTGTGCACGACCAACGATAACTAACTGAAAAATGATCTCACCTGGCAGCACAAATCACATTCAACCTAATGAGATGTTGCCAGTTTATTCAGAACAGCTGAAGCAGATATTTATCCTGGAAAACCTCAGTTATACACCCTTAAAAATGGGTCTTCAAGTGTCCTTTAGTAAATGCAGACTGGAACCGTGAAGACTCAAAGAACCATTTCAATGCATGGTGGATTGGTTCTCCTCTACGGTACCCCTGCTGTATATGGTTCTTTAAAGAACTTTAAAATAATGGTTCTATATTGCACCAAAAAGGGTTGTGCTACGTTTTTGGTACTACCTAGAACCCTTTCCGAGTGTACAACAACCGGATTAGAACTAAACCCTACTTTACCAAACAGTGACTTTTTAAACACATACAAAACATCATCTGAGACTACATCTGCCTTTTCTAAAGGAAATGCAGCACTTCAGAGGCAAGACAGTAAAAGAAGGAATTAATAAAGAAATAGAAATGAATAAATGAAGGAATGAAGAGAAAAAAGAAGGAAGGAAAGAAAGAATAAAACAAAGACCATCTGGGGAAAACAGACGAAGGAAATCAGTTCACAGAATAAGGTTTAAAAAGTTCAGAAGACTTAAAGACTTAAATCTAAAAATACTGAAATCAGCTGGTTTAAATACAAAGATGGAGGAATGAAAAGTAGTAAAGAAATAAAGGAGTGATAAAGAGAGGAGAGAAAGGAAATAAAGGAGTGAAGCATGATAAAGAGAAGAGAGGAGAGAAAGAAAAAACAACTGATGAAAAGGGGAGAGAAAGAAGAAATAAAGGCGTTAAGTGTGATAGAAAGAAGAGAAGAAGAAGAGGAAGAAGTAAATAAAGGAGTGAAGTGTGGTAGAGAGAAGAGAGGAGAGGAAGAAATAAAGGAGTGAATTGTGATAAAGAGAAGAGAGGAGGAGAGAAAGAAGAAATAAAGGAGAAAAGTGTGATAAAAAGAAAAGAGGAGAGAAAGAAATAAAGGAGTGAATTGTGATAAAGAGAAGAGAGGAGGAGAGAAAGAAGAAATAAAGGAGTGAAGAATGATAAAGACAGAAGGAGAGAAAGAAGAGATAAATGAGTGAAGTACAACCCCGTTTCCAAAAGATTTGGGACGCTGTGCAAAATGTAAATAAAAACAAAATTCAATGATGTGAAAATAATTTAAACCTTATATTTAACTGAAAATAGTACAAAGACAACAAATCAAATGTTGAAACTTTTTTGAAAAATATTTGCCCATTTTGAATTTGATGCCAACAACACGTTCCAAAAAAGTCGGGACGGGGGCCTGTTTACCACTGTGTTTCATCACCTCTTCTTTAACAACACTCTGTAAGCGTTCGGGAACTGAGGAGACACTGCTGTAGTTTTGAAGTGAGATGTTTTCCCGTTCTTGTTTGATGTAGGATTTCAGCTGCTCATCAGTTCAGGGTCTCCTTTGTCATATTTTTCATTTCATAATGCGGCAATTGTTTTCAGTGGTGGAAGGTCTGGACTGCAGGCAGGCCAGTTTAGCACCTGGACTCTTTTAATACGGAGCAATGCTGCTGTAATACATGCAGAATGTGGTTTGACATTGTCTTACTGAAATAATCATGGCCTTCCCTGAAAAAGACGTCGTCTGGATGGCAGCATATGTTGCCAAAACATGTATATATCGTTTAGCATTAATGGTGCCGTTACAGATGTGCAAGTAACCCATGCCATGTGCACTAATGCCCCCTATACCATCATGAATACTGGCTTTTGAACTGTGCACTGATAACAAGCTGAGTGGTCTTTAGCCCAGAGGACACAGTGTCCATGATTTCCAGAAGGAATTTCAAATGTTGATTCGTCAGACCACAGGACACTTTTCCACTTCCCCTCAGTCTGTTTTAAATGAGCTTGGGCCCAGAAAAGGTGGCAGCATTTCTGGGTCCTGTTTACATTTGATTTCTTCATTCTGCATTTAAGAATTTTAATTAGCATTTGTGGATGCAGTTATGAACTGTTTTCAAAGACAGTAGTTTTCAGAAGTGTTCCTGAGCCCATGCAGTGATTTCCACTACAGAATCATGTCTGTTTTTAATGCAGTGCCGTCTGAGGGCCCAAAGATCACAGCCTGCAAATACTGTTTTTTTGGCCTTGGTCCCTTACATACAGAGATTTCTCCAGATTCTCTGAATCCTTTAATGATATTATGTACTGTAGATGATGAAAAGCAGAAGTTCTTTGCTATTTTACATTGAGAAATGTTAAAAGACTCAGCCTCTCTGCGATGCTCTTTATACCCAATCATGTTACTGACCTGCTGCCAATTAACCACCAGGTGTTTTTTTAGCATTACACAACTTTACCAGCCTTTTGTTGCCCCATCCCAACATTTTTGGAACGTGTTGTTGGCATCAAATTTAAAATTGGCAAATACTTTTAAAAAACAAATTAAATTTCTCAGTTTTAGCATTTGATATGTTGTCTTTGAAGCATTTTCAATGAAATATAGGGTTTAAATGATCATCATTGCATTTTGTTTTTATTTACATTTTTCTCAGCGTCCCAACGTTTTTGGAAATGGGGTTTTATGATAAAGAGAGGAGGAGAGAAATAAGAAATAATCAGTGAGGTATGATAAACATCTGAACGTAGCTCATTAGACTCAGTGGGATTTTTGCCATCATTTTGTAAAGCTTGTCCAGCTTTGAAACTGTTGCTAAGACAGAAGGCATTTGTGGGTGGAGCCTAGACACGTCTATTTCGAACTGAATGAAAGAATTCATTAAAAAGACCCAAACCAAAGTCTTTGTGCAGGCAGACAATTTTATTGTACAAATATACCAACAGACCTGCCCAGTACAAAAGTATAAAAGTAAGCATTTGATTGATATAAAAAACTACAAAACAGAACATGCATTTTTTTTTCCTTACAAAAATGCGTAACCCCGCTGAACCGGTTATAAAAAGTACAAGAACACGTTGAAATTCAGCTCGACAGCGGCGCGCCCTCAATACTTTCACTTACACAAAGACCAAAAATATAATAATCTCACAGGTTGGGATTTAGAAGTACTTGCAAAACAAATTTTAAGAATGACTAAGTGCGCATGTCATTAACACAAAAACAACCCAACAAAACAAAACACAACCTGATCTAAACAATCATTAACCCGAGCGATGGCTTAACTGCTGTTCGGAATGTAAAAAAAGCACAACTATGCATCGAACAGATACACTTTCACCTGTAAAGAAGAGCAAAAAATATGGCTTTAACCTGCAAATTCACTCCAGGATTAAGGAATAGTTAAAAATGACAATTTAAACCTTTCCTCAAATGTAGCCGATCAGCCAAGACATGGTTGGTATTTGCTTCTTTGGTTTTGCTTTAGAGCTGTGAGGCTAATGTAGTTATAGAGGAATGGAAGGTTCTACCCCACCAGACCAGCACGATACGGACAGCGATGCAATTTTTTGCGATTTTAATATAAAACTCTATTTATACTTTATTAGTAAATCAATTATGTGAGATGTTTGAAGACTGAGCTGTGCTATTTTAACCAAAATAACTTTTTGGATCATGCGAACATCAAAACAGTGCAGAAACTCATCTGGAGCTGTGACTGATCAGGATGATCACAGTGATTGGTTAGATGAGTGTGTCTACATGCACTCAGTAATCTGATAATAATCGGATTTTTGCACTTATCTGATTATTCCAATGGACATTAACAGCACACTCCGATTTCTTAGATCGGAGTAAGGTTTAGAAATCCGATTAAGAAATATGATAAAAACAGCTGGATTTTAGCTCAGTAATCAGATTTATTAGTGCATGTGAACTCTTACTCTGATTTCTTTCTATTTCTCAGTCTGAGCATGTGTGAAAACAGACGGCGGTCGCAGAAATAAGCGAGCAGCACCGCCGCGAGATGCAGTAAAACACTTTTGGAGTGAGGCTGAAACCAAATACATGCTTGACGAAATGAAGGATTAAAATATTCTTAATCTTCTAGATGATGTATTTTTATATTTTCAGGTAAAGTGGTGCGATGTTTAAAAAAAAGCTGTGGCCTGAAGTTTTACATGATGTTTACATCGCGTCTTCTTCTGTGAGTTAATTGGCTGGTTGCAAAGCAAATCTGATTACTGTCTGATTCATGTAGACCTGAAGTTTCCCCATTATTATTACTTAAGTGCATGTAAATATGTTGATCAGATTACTGACAACATCTGATTTTCTGCCTTTATCGGATTATTAAGTGCAAGTAAATACACTCAATATCACAATAACATACTGTGCAGCTTTATCATGTAACTGCCTCCAGTTGTGTTAAGCTGCTAATCATTTCAAAAGGACTTTCTGACACTGTATAAAACAGCATCATCTACAGTTGTATGGAAAATTTTTTAACCCTTCGCTCAAATGACACATTTTGTAGATTTTCTATGTGAAGATAAGTTAACACATCTTCTACAGGGTTACATAAATTATATATAGTTAAATATGGCATTTTTCTGATAATTTAGTGCACTGAATTATTTGCTGAGTTAAATGTGTTTGAAAAAAATACAGAAAGTTTATTTTTTCCCCAATACGTTAAATTCAGCAAACAACAGTAATTAGCTTTTAATTCGCTTCCATTACTCAGCTACATTAGCCTTGTAGATCCAGTGCAAAACTAATAAAGCAAAACTTCAGACCCCAAACATGTTCTGGCTGATCGACCGCATTTGAGGTGAGAAGAACTTGGCAAACTATTCCTTTAAGAAGAGTGAAGGCATCGGAATTCTTTCAGAAATCAGATATTCTTAAGTTTATGGCATCTCAGTGTCGATTATGAAAAATATGAAAATGGCTTATAATCCTACCCACTGTTACAAACAAGTACAACGCTCTCTAGCTGTGTTCGCTCACAGCTACGTCTGGCACAGTCACAGTAAAACACCCTAACAACACGAAACAGTCTGTAAACACTGGAGGAGAAAGGGGGTGGGGGGACCTCGAATCGACTGAAGCAAACAATGGCTCTTCAACGCAGATCAGCATCGTCTTCCTGAGAGTCTGACGGAGATGGATTCCTGCACCCATATCAAAGTCTACGTTTCATATAAAACGCCCTATTCCAGCTACTTAATTCGAAGCTTCTATCTTAGTACACAGTTCAATCTTGCAGGCAAGAATGCTAAAAAAAAGAAAAAAGGCAGTTGTGGCTTTGCAGAGCTGCTGGGATCAGAAGCTCTTTCCAAAAATGGCAAGCTTGATAGGAAATACCGAATGCTTCAAAAAGCACATAAGAGCTAACACCAGCGATTTAGCGAAACTGTCCAATATCCAGGACCAGAAACATAAAATCACACGTAAAATTAATGATGTGTATGTAATGTTGCACATTACACTGAAGACGATATGTATGAAATATAAAAAAAAAGAACAACAACAACAAAAAAAAACATTCCAGTTGAGCCGTTCTGCCGCAGCGTTCCTGCGGAATACGGCCGAACCCCTTTCTGAAGGGCTGAAGAGAAGTGTGCATCTGCATTCTTGGATTAATGGCACTGGTCTAGGACTCAGACTTTCCCTCCATCTTATCCTGTTGGTTAGGATTATTTAGGATGTGGTGGGCGAAGGCCAGTCCAAGATGAGCACTCAGAAGTTCCCTACCCGCAGCCTCTGAGGCTTAGGTGAGGCGAATGCCCAGTACCTGCTCCAGCTCCTGCCTTCTCTGCTGGACCTGTGAACCGCAAACACAAAGCATGAAACCAGTTATGCTGCCTTATTAGACCTTGCTTAAAAGTGAAGGCTCCAGAAGAGGTAGGAGAGACTGTCCTAGCACTTGTAACCGCAGTAGGGCTGAGCAATATGACAATATATATCATTATTGTGACAAATTACGTCACAATACAATACAGTGTTTTTCTGAACATATCGTCTGTACTTGTAGAAAACTGACTAACTGCATGTTTCATTATATAGAGAGCCAAATTAGTCCTGTTTAACTGGGCTTAGTGCAACACTGGGCCAAATACTGAATAAAAATCACTATATTCTCAGTTTTTGATAGTAATTTTTGGCACTACTTTTTCTCTGTTCCAACTGATCAGGCATAACATTATGACCACCTCCTTGTTTCTATGCTCATTGTCCATTTTATCAGCTCCACTTACTATATAGGTGCACTTTGTAGTTCTACAGTTACAGACTGTAGTCCATCTGTTTCTCTGCATACTTTGTTAGCCCCCTGTTACCCTGTTCTTCAGTGGTCAGGACCCCCATGGACCCTCACAGAACAGGTACTGTTTGGGTGGTGGATCATTCTCAGCACTGCAGTAACACTGACGTGGTGGTGGTGTGTTAGTGTGTGTTGTGCTGGTCTGAGTGGATCAGACACAGCAGTGCTGCTGGAGTTTTTAAACACCTCAGTGTCACTGCTGGACTGAGAATCGTCCACCAACCAAAAATATTCAGCCAACAGCGTCCTGTGACTCTTCTTTTCTTGAGTGTCTTGCTCCCCCTTTGCTGCTGTAGAATTTCCCTGTTGTAGGACTAATAAAGGATTATCTTATATCACATTGTGAAATTTTCTAATACAAAGGCTGTTTATCTGTCTGACTCTGAATAACCGATCATAAAGAAGCAGCTATCAATCAAGTTTACCATTACTGCTTTGACTTGATTCACAGATACATTAAGTGCCCCTATTTTCATGCAAAGTAGGACATTTTTTGGCCCAAATGGTGGCAAATGTGAGAGTAACAGGGTATTTTTTTAACACTTTTTTGCACTTTAGCTGCTGCAGCGTGAAACCAACCAAACTCAATAAAAAAGAAACCTTATCACAAAAACCCGAACTCTGGTTCAACTCTGGTCAAACTAACTATATAGCCTAATATAAGCAATGCAACATGTTTATATATATAAATTTGCACTGCAACTCATTTCATTGCAAACTCGGGTTCTGCAGCATCTCGCCATTCACAGTTGTTTGGAGCTATGCATGAAGGATTGTCGGTGACTGAGGGTCTCGAAGCACCAGCTGCATCCTTCGATCTCTCTCAAAGGCCCCATTTGAATGATCCTACAAAATGAGACTTCACTGATGTAATGGTCGAGAAATTGGCTGAATCCTCAGCTTTGAGAGGCTAAAGTTAGCTTTCTGCACAAGGTGAAGTTAAATCAACATTGTTATGACACATTTGACCATTAAACTGAGCTTAAAACATTCATTTTCACTGTGATTTTAAATTAAAGCAATAGTTCAGTGAAAAATCTAATTTACACACCAAATTTGACTCTGTTTGACTGTACAGACTTAGAGGTAGAAACTTTAACACACTGAATTTTTTTAACAGACTGTCTTTGTAAAATAGATTGTAGAGAGATCATATTGTCCTACCCATATTGTACGTCAGATGTGATTCTTGCTGTCGCTGTGCTACAGAGACAGAAGAGGATCAAAACTATGAAATGTACTTTACCTACAGCTGTACAGACGCGCTTTTCTGATGTGGAACAAAAGCCGCTCTTCTCCATTGTAGCATGTGTAGCATAACTAGCTAATACACGTCATTTAAAATCAGCTAGATTTGAATGACTTGATTATTAAGGTACATTGTACTCATTTACACTCATTATGGTATCGGTATTTGCAAGTACCTAAAAACGCACTCATACTTGGTCTGAAAAAAAAAGTGGTATAGATGCATTCCTAGTAGCTAAGAAGTAACAGCTTAGAGCTCACCAATTAGCACTGTGCAAACTGATTGCTTAGCTAAAATCAGCAGTCACAGCCATCTTGAGTCCTAAACTTAGACCCTACATTTGTACATTTTTATAGACAACAGTATTTCAGGGTCAGAAACCACATAAGCAAGTTTTTGAGATTACTAAACAACTCAGAGTGTAATGATTTTGGTATGCAATTAACACCATGCTAATTGGTGGGGCACAGGCTTCTATTACTTGTTAGCTACTTAAGCATCATACCTTCAGTGCAAAACTAAAGAAAAAAACTTTAGACACCAAGCATGACTAAACCATCACTTTAAATTGCCAACTAAGCAAAAAACATGCATTTTCACATACATTTTCAATGCTTGGTCAAGTTAAGACTGATGATCAGTGGACAATCTGGTTTCCAACCTACATTGGGAACCATTTCCAACACATACCTTGGAGAATACGTAACGACCCACAGCCTCTTGGACCCAGGGAGCCTGGTAGAACTCGCTCCTCCTCTCCTCCTCAGGGTTCCCGGCAGTGTCCGTCATCAGCTGAGTCAAACAAACACAAAGCAGACGCACAAGGGTCAAGTGGAGCAAACACGCCAAGTCCTCCTCCTCAGTCTCTCTCTCTCTCTCTCTCTCCCTCCCTTCCTCTCATACAAGTGTCCTGTAATGCCTCTCGCTCCATGTGATGTGATTGGACCCGTCACCAGCCTGAATGAGTTTTTAATGGAATCCAGCAATAGCCTCCCCGCCTGTAAACGTTTTTGGAGGCACATTTAACCACTTAGTGCAAATACGTCAGCCCCACTCTCATTCTGACAAGCTTCTAGGGAGGTACCTTGAGGTCTCGGCTTTGAGACTTGAGCCAGTCCTGGATGAAGTCCTGGGGGTTGGTGCTGAAGCTCAGCATGAAGTCTCTCTGAGTCTTCAGCTGGTTTATGGACTCGATGGTCTCGTGGATCTGATGAGAAACAGATTACATATAAACCTATATTACAACAAAAATCGGAAGAACTTCACTGCCTTCATTCAAAAACTTTAACACACTGGGTATATTTTGCTCATCAAAGTGTTATTATTTACACATTGTTCGGGTTTTGCCTGTATAATATGTTAAAGTGTTCTTTTCTAAGCTGTTGTTAAGAGACCACATTGAAGCTATTTTGACTCAAACGTAGTTTATAAACCGGAAAGCTTTGAGGTCTAACATCACAACAATGGGACAAAACGCATGAGCTTTGTCAGTGACACTGGCCTCTTTTCCACTGCAGGGCCGAATGGTTGTCTGTGGTCTGTTCACCACAGAACAGATTCGATTCTGACTAATAAAAGCTTTACTGACACAAATTTAGATGATAATGACTCAGCCCTGAGGAAGTGAAGTCGAGCAGCTGATGTTAGAGGGACAGAAAGCTGAAATTATCCTCTTCTCTGGTGTCTGAAGCTGGAGCCTCCTAGCTAAGCTAATGCTAGCCAGCTCTTCTCTCCCAGCTAGCTTAGCTTAGCTGAAGAGATCCAAACACCCCAGTACAGGTTCGATTCAAATACCTGCTCTGCTGTCACAAGTATAGGTGATAAAAAACGTATAACAGCGAGAGCAAAGTCGACTGATCGGTGTTGGAGTGACAGAGAGCTGAAATCAGACCTGTTTTGTTAGAGCTTTAAGCTATAGCCTGCTAGGCTAAGCTAACGCGAGTGTAGGGTGCCTCCCACTGCAGTACGGACTCAGTTCTAGAGAAATGATGATTAAAAACACCTGTTTAGAGGATAAAGACTCGTGTCTGAGAGCACAAATTCGAATGACCAATGTTGAAGTGACAGAAATTTAGAAATAGACTTGTTCTGTGGTGCTTTGAGCCGTAACCTGCTGGGCAACACTAATGCTAATGTAGTTATCAGGCTACAGGTGAACCCACCACAGTAAAGGCTGTCTCAGTAGCAGATGCTCATGGAGTGACTGACGGAATCAAACGTGTTTGTGGTGGGTGGCGTGTATGTTGCTTTTAGCCTGTTAGCAGTTAGACACTCGTTTGGGTATTTTTCTTGGGTACTGATTTTTCCCGGTTCTGATTTAGTCGTACAACAGATGGAAACAAAAACTGTAACCGGTCTCACGAGTCCGGACCAGCGAGGAACGGCCCAGTACGGCCCTGAGAACCATTTGGCTCGATAGTGGAAAAGTGGCCATTATTTTTCTCTAAATAAACCTGGTCCATCGTTTAGGTTATTGCACACTGTCAAATGAAAACATGCTCGTTTATATTAAAAACATTCTGAAAAGCCAGGCGTCCCCCAACGTTTGACGGACAGGCAGTGTGTATACAAAAAGATTTTCAGATTACATGTGTAGGTTTACCCTTCCAAACAAACCCACTTTCTCATAAGCAAACACACACCTTCATCTCCAAGGCAGCGATCTCCTGCTGGTTGGTGGTAGAGGAAAGGAAGCTGGTCATCTGGCTTTTCAGTGGGTCGTCCACTTCAACGTCAATGTCGAAGCAGGCTGTCTTCTTCTGGTCGTTGGGGTCCACGCTGCCCACAGCCAACAGCACAATGAGCACCAAGAAATCAAACTTTGATAATGTTTTACTGCTTTACTGTAGAGCTGTGACTGACGATTTCTTCTAATATTTATAATTTACAATAGATAGATAGATAAATAGATAGAGAGATAGAACTTTATTGATCCCAAAGGGAAATTGCAGTGTTTCAGCAGCAACACATATAATTGCACATAAATTTACATATACTATGCAGAAAAATAGAAAACAGAAATAAATCTAGACAGAAGTTAAAGTACAAGAGAAATAAAATTAAAGTATATCTATTTGTATATTTACATGGCATATGAGACAGATTTGTTGTATTTACATGATAGCAGGCACTGAAATACAACAAATCTGTCTCATATGCCATGTAAATATACAAATTGGTAATTTACTTAATATAATATAATGTATACATTTTAATTATATTTTAATATAATGATTTAAATTTATATAATTTACTTAATGACTACCTAACTAGCAGAAGACGTAATCAACGTTTTTCATAATCAACATTGTCGACTTAACTAATCACTGCAACCCTACTTTACAGGAACGTCACAGGCCCCACAAACAAAACTAGCCATGACTAAGAGCAATAATCCCTTCTCAAAGGCTACATTCACCATACAAGCCTCGTTACTCAATCCTGATTTTTGGCTCAAATCCTATCTTGGTTCACATTTGTGCGGGTAGGTGACTCAAATCTGCTATTAATGTGAATAAACCTGTCCTGAAACTATCCGCTTGTGCACATCCTAATCAATAATGTCACATGAATGACTTGCGTGCGTCACAAACAACAAACAAACTAACCAGCAGAACAATCCTTCGTCGTGAAGATGATTCACTGTGAGCAGCTCTCAGCTGTTCACTATTAGAGCAAGACGAAGGATCAGATGCTTTTGCACTGTTTACTGCCACAAACTTCTGGTTTGCCGCTGCTGCCACATTAAACAATGCTGCATGCACAGTGAAAAAAAATGAATTCTGACCTGATTCTCGTTAAGGTCGCACGACCATCAATCAAACTTGTAGCCAATTTAGGACCAAATATGAAGGAAAAAATCAGATCTGTGTCAGATTAAGGCAGAACGATTGGTGTCCTTTCAGCCTAGTTATGTGAAAGTAGCCAAAGACACCAGGACTAGACAGCAAAAGCACTGCGTGCACACACACACCTGATGATGTGGTTGATGACGATGGGGTCGGGGTGCTGCAGGAGCCCAGCCAGCTTCATGGGGATCTCAGAGAACCTCATCCGAGGGCAGGCAAAAATCTGCACCAGCACCCAGAACAACACACAGTATATCATTAGTGACTGTAACCACAGAATGTGGTTCATTTCTAACAGATATTATGAACTGCGTTTAAAAAGCTACACTCTTAAAAATGATGGTGCTTCAAGGGTTCTTTAGTAATGAAAATGGTTCTATATAGAACCATGACCTCTCAAAGAACCTTTTGCATGATTCTTTGCATCGTGAAAAAGTTCTTCAGATTGACTGAGTGTGAATGTGCAGTATGTGGTTCTATATAAAACCTTTTTGAAAAGGGTTCCTCTATTGTTACCATGTCAAGCATGTAATAACAGAAGAACCCTTTTTGCTGCCCTTTTGGAAAATGGTTCTATACAGATCCATCTACAGCACATTCTTCATCAATCTGAAGAACGCTTGCGTGATACAAAGAACCCTTTAATCGTGCAAAAGGTTTTTTGCAGTGTTCATGGTTATATTCTGAACCAATTCCTTTACTAAAGAACCCTTGAAGAACCATCGTTTTTAAGTGTGTAGGCTGCAGTCCAGGAGTCCAACACTACATCAATGAAGGATCTTAAGGATCCTTGAATGCAGTCAAGAAATGCAGCCTACATTCTGACCATTTCTGAGGACATAACCAGAGTATCTGTCATGGTCTATTGCCACCCATAATTCTCTGCAGACAAGTCTGGCACAAAGTGCATATTGTTCAAAAAAGGCCAGTAAAATATACAGTAAAAAAAAAGAACATGCTATTCCTTTAGTTGTGTATCTGTTTAAGAGGGTAAAATGCACCTGCTTTCAGTAAGGATAGTTTTTAGCTTGGAAGATAGCACGTTATTACAAACAAATGATGTTCTGCCTGCCGCATTACATCATTCACATCATTGTTTTACTTGCAGGCATACAGTCATTCACATCAACAGTATTTTCACCATCAGATTTTGCAACATATCCTTTATGATGACGTGACAAAGCAGCCTTGGTAGACTGTCCGTTACGCATTGCGTAATACAAAAGAGGAGCCTTCATAGATCAGTGCTACTGAGGACCCACCCTTCTCATCTGCAGCCTGGCTTCTGGAATGAATGCAAGCCACTTGCAACTCTTAGTGCTGGGTGATATGGCCTCAAATGAATATCACGATTAATTGAATGTTTCACCCCGATTAATAATGATTATTTTGTTTTTGTTTTTTTGTGTTTGTTTGTTTTTTTGATCTAATAGTTCACTGAAAAGGCTTGTACTGTAAATATGCTCTGCATATCTTAATGGAAATCGTCTGAACAGCCAGATCGGAATTCACACGGCTTTTACGCCAATCCAACTCGACATTCGTCATAATTTCACGCTGCTGAGACCTCATAAACATTTGGGGTGATATTTCTGTACAAAAATTAGAAAAGACTCATCCAAAACCCTCTGTGTTTGAAGAGATTTTGAAAGAAATGACCGAACGCAGCCGTAGGAGAACGAGGCTGCAGCGTCAAAGAACGATTAAAAGTCTGAAAGCAAAGTTTAAAGAATCCAACGACACAAACCAAAGAAGTGACCGCGCCCTTTTTACGGCGAGCTCCAACACATTCTGGGTGATGAGACCAGCTATTAGTCAGTGAAGCTTCACGATGGCTCCTGTGATGCTGGTGAAGATGAAGCTGATCCTCTGGGAGCGACTGGCGTTCGTTGGCAGTCGTGATTGTTTACCTCTAGATGAGCCACATGAAGCTCTGTTCTTTTGCGCATGTGGGTCAGTTTAGGAGCTGATCTGTTCAGACTGATGTTGCATAGAGATCACATTTAAAAGATACTGTGAACAGCCAAACAAAAAAAACGGATTTGGTGAACAAATCTGATTTAGCCTTTCTCTCAAGGCTAATTTTGCTAACATGAAATGGATGTATATCCCACCAATTAGAATCATTCTGGCTGCATGACTCAATCCTTGCACAAGTGCCTCAATCTGCATGAAGTCTGGCTTTAAGATCAGACTTATAGATTTATCGCATGTCACAAACTACTAAGGAAGTCTGTTTGAGATTACTTAACAACTTTATCAACGTTAGCCTTGTAGATTTAGTGCAAAACTAAAGAAGCAAACTTCAGACACCAAGTATGTTTTGGCTGATCTACAACATTTGGGTTAAGAATCAAAATCAGAATCGCTTTATTTTGCCAAGTATGTTACACATACAAGGAATTAGTCTTAGTGAGTGCACACATGTATGACATGTAACATAGTAATCAGATCAGACAAGCAAACTGACTGTTAACAAGTATTTAGCTAAGGGAAAAATAAAAATACAATAAATAGAATAAAGAATAATAAAGAGCGATATCGAGAATAATAAAGGGTGAATAACTGTCAAATCATTCCTTTATAAACGAGCGAGGAGGGGCTAGCAGTAAATCCTCGGCTCTACCTGTCTGAAGTAGCGGTTGCAGTTGATGTATTCTTTCTCGTGGCAGTCCTGCAGCTTGTTGTTCTTGATGTAGAGCCAGAGTGCCTGCATGATGCTTGCTCTGGTCTGGGTGTGGACCCCCAGGAGCCGGGCCAGCCGTGGGTCCAACTTATACTGCGGTGGCTGCGACAGAGAAGCACAGAGAGAACAAGGAGGTGATCATATAGTTCATCATACAGAGGGCAGTAATCAGCTGCCCCCCATTTTATTTTATTTCTTTTTCAATTTTTATTCCTTTCTTCCTCTTTTTCTTTTTTCTATTGTCTTGGATTGTAATTGCACATTGTTCACAAAAACAATGAACAATTTGATCACAAAAGAAAAAATTAATTGATCATACTAACAGTTGTGGTGAGAGGTGGAAGGATTGATCGGCTATATATATCGATATCGGCCGATTTTCAGCCCAAATATGTGATCGCCAACTGGCCAATATTTTTTAACTTAGCTGATCATGAAAGCTGATGGGTGACGTAAAGCATATGAACTGTATTTCACGAGATAAGGATGGCTGCAGCCCTGTGTGAGGTCCCTGGTTCACACAACCCAGTTCCTCGTTCAAACACTAGAAGGAAATACAGACCTTTTGACTTCTGATTACAGGACTAAAGGCCTATTCACACTTTTACAAATAAAAAAAAAAAAATCCACGTGAAGTTTTGAAAATGAACACATGTATATTAATACTGTCTTTCACATCGAGTCTGAAACTGACGGACTGCGACGCTGCGTACGTTTTTTAATCCGAGCCTGCTCTATTTTCTGCTTCTTACGAGGCATTAAAACCAGGCTGACCAATCAGAGCTCCATTGTCATGGTTGCAGCCCAGCCAAATGTGCAATCAGGGTGACGGAACTCTTGAAGCAGAGCACAAAAGCTCATATGACAAGCAAACGCTGACTAAAAAAACATGGATGTTGACAATATTTATCAGACGAGAGCTGAAAGGCAATGAATGATGGTGAGGAAGTTGCAGCCACTGTATTTAACCATAGTTCATTCGCTCCTTTTTAATGAGAGGAGCAACAAGCAGATGCAGAGCCTCAAATTCCCCCACTGACATACCAAAATACCGTTCTGCAGCTTCAGCTCGCTCTTGTAAGAGGTGGTGGAACTTCCTGTGTTGTTTTTTTGCAGAACTGGATGTAACCCGTGTACAAACAAAAGGTTTTCAGAGTATTTAGACAGAAAAATGCTTCAGATATGGTGTGAAAAATCATACATGGTGTGAAAAGGCCTTAACAGTCCAGCCCCACCCCCGATCAGTGTCAGGTGTAGGCCCATTGTGACGAAAGGCGTTCGGTAATCGGTATCGGCCCTAAAAACACTGATCGGTCCATATCTAGTTTCAATTATAACTGACAGTAAAGAGTAGCAAAAGTTTCTAACTGATACTATGTTTCATTGTTTGTTTACTTTTTGTGTACTTACTTTAAATTCTCTTTTGAAGATCATCAGCCATTCAGATATAAGTTAACTGGTGTAACTGATCTCCTTCCTTCACATGATATATACACACATATATATACTCCAGAATTACTGCCACCCTTATTAAAGTTTAACCCAAAATGTGGAAAACACAATTTTTGGCCAGCTTGTTTTTTAAGACTGTACTTGTGGAGGGTTTGTGTGTGTTACCTGGTGGTCTAGCATGAGGAGGAGGGTGCATTTCACACTGACATCACCAGGTCTCTTCACCTGAAAGCCATCCGTCTCCTGAGTGGTGGGCATCCTGTGCCACTGAAGGCCAAACAAAGACACAATGACCCTCTACAAACACGTATATCCAATGAAATAATCACATTGCACAAACAATCCCACAGTGACATCCAAAAACCAATCACACAATCCTTTACAGTTATACAATCCCAGCCCATAAACATCTAGAAACCACCTACTTCACCTAAAGCACAAAAGCAGCCAGTACTGTTTATGTTATTTTAGTTTTTAATCATGTTTCACCCCAAGGAAGGATTTTGTTAATGGAAAAGTCAGTTGTATTGCTGGACCTTGGAAGCATATTGTAGTATGTGCATGTCTTCTGTGATTGGGTCTACGCTACACATTGTGTGGCGCATTTGAATCATTTTGGTCTCCCCTATTGCACAACCAAATTCCAATTTGGGAGTGTGATGACAAGCATGTGCGTGCTGCTGTTTGCAGAGTATCACAGGATAACTGAACACACTTGTAATAGAGCACTTCTGTGACAGAAGCTCACACTGTTTTTTTGTAAGCTGTCTTTGGTTTTGCCCTAGATTTTTTAGACTCTTGGTTCTCTACCACGCTGATTATGAAAGAATAGCACTGGACTGTGGAGGTGCTCAGAAATATAATGTACTAAAACAGCTGTACAAACATGTTCTAAAGCATCCGATATTAGTCATTTCATGATTTTTTAAAATTGAGAATGAATTTCATACATCATCATTATAACATTAAAGAGTTTAAAGCAGAAACATTTACTTTATAAGTAGCCACTATCAGCGCTAGCACATCTATGGGAACTACCACCAAACTAACAGCGCTGTACATTCACTTTCCCTCATAGGGTTTAATATACTGCTTACGGGAAACTAGAGCTGCTCTGCTCTGATCTACAAATCGCTGGTGAAACTGCAACATGCTTGACTAAAATGCAGCTATGTCAGGCGTTTCAAAGTGTCCTCAATAACACGTATTAAATATTGTGATATACTTTATTACCCAATATGTGCACATGTCTAGGCCCTACATGACATACACTAAAGGCACTTTAGAGCTGTTCTAATGTTTGCTTAAACCGTCCTGGAGACATTACACTATGCACTCTTTTGTGCTATCCAGCATCTATCAGACCAGATAATAATCAAACTCCTCGTGGTTTGGGTTCAGGTGTGTGGAGTAGGGAAAACACAAAAATGTGCAGAACATGAGGGTCAGCAGGAGCTGGATTGGGAATCCCTGGCTTAAATGGCCCATATCACGAAAAACAAAATGTCCTCACTTTTTTATTTAAATAAGATTCAATGTAATAATAATAATAATAATACTAATAATATTTATTTTTATAGCACTTTTCATGCTGATGGCAGCTCAAAGTGCTTAACAGTAATACAAAAAATTATGAGTATTACTTGAGAATCATACAATGACACAGATCAAATTAAAAGATAAATACCAAGAGACAGAGTTTTAATGAAGTGCTAAGTTCAAGAGATGCGTTTTAAGATGCTTCTTGAAAGTGAGCACTGAGCTTTACTGTCTAATAAAAGGTGAAATGGAATAAGTGAACGAGTCTCTCCATGTTTTCTGTATTTTACAGAAGGTTTTTGCAGAAGGTCAGTATTCGCAGATCTAAGATTATGTGCTGGAGCATAAACAGACAGACACTCTGTGATGTAAGCGGTGCTTTAAGGTCATTTGGAGCCTTAAAACCTAGTAGTTTATAGCAGAACTATAAAATCTATCCTGAATGATACAGATAGCCAGTGCAGTTCTTTCAAAACGGGAGTGATATGATCTCCCTGTTATGTAGTAGTAAACACAGGTAAAGTTTTAAAACGCACGATTCGCTCCCTATTCCTCACAGTCCATATGTGGACACTAACCTGCAAAAACAGCCTGTTTTGAATTCAGTGTTTGTGACAACACATTTAAATATATCTGCCTATCCAGGCTTGAGCAGTTTCGCTCCACCCATTCACACTGAAGTTATAAGGAGTGTTTCAGTCTGAACTGTTTTTTAAACGAGGCATAATATGGGGCAGCCAACCAGAACAGAGGTCATTTACATATATTGCTCTTAAAGGCACAGCTTGTCTGAGTCTAATCTAAGAGCCATTTTGTCCTTTCAACAAAAATAAAACCACCTTGGGAGCCACAACATTTTATGTCCATTTTACCATCTTGGCTGTAAATATGTCTCAGTACGTGCTGATGTACTAGTGTAGGCTAACAAATTTAATATAAACGAAAACGCAGACTTTGCCCTGCTTTAACCTTTAGCTCAGCTGTAGCTCAGTAGTCGCTTCTCATTCACCAGCTTCTTATTTGAATTTTCCCGTTCCACCTTAAATGGTGCCTGAGGCCAGAATGTAACCGCTGCACCATTTAAGGTGGAACGGGAAAATTCGAACGAAAAACTGCCTTCAGCTTCACGACTTTTTAGTGTTTGTCAGTTTCTCGCTGCAGATTAAACATATCAGGAAACCAACTGGCATGATTATAAATGCAAATAAGTCCATTCATCTATGAATTATGGATGTCCACCTTAAATCTCTCTCTTTGCCGTTTCGTTAGCTACTAGCTAGGCAAGTTTATTGTCTGTGTTGCTATGGTGACCAGCAGTCTGTGCTGATCTTCAGGGTTAAAGGGTGAATCAGCAGTTCTACATTAACTCCAGAGTTTAAGACCATTTATAGTTAAACTGTGTTGAACGATCAGCAGAGCTTTATTTTACTGTAAAGGAGGATTATTTTATTTTTACCTAAAACTCTAATTCAGCTGTGGAGCCGCAACAGAGCAGTAAAAGAGCCGCATGTTGCCGACCCCTGGTCTAAGGGATAAAGAAAGGTTGAAAATGAGAACGTAAAAAATTAAATTTGACTGTTTTTGGTTTATAAATCTACTTAAATGTCATACGTTGAAAATGAAATGCAAGAAAAACATAGGATATGTGCCCTTCAAACAACATTTCTCCCAGTTAACTGTTCTGAAAATGTTCTTTCTATGGACTGCAGGGCTTCAGTCTGAAGATGTCAGGATTCTTTACCTCTACCAAATGATTGTCTGGCCCATAGAGTTCTTTATCCAGTTCGATGACCAAGCTTTTGAAGAAGGATGAGAACTTTCTCTTCTGTTTCCCAGGCTAAAGACAGATGAACAGAAGAAGGAAACATACAGACAGAGAGAAATGTTAAGTGCTGTTGCTTCCAGTTCCTAAGCAGTTGATTGATGCTGCATTGTTTAGCGCTGACCACATTTGTGCATTTGGGATTAAACACACACACACAGACACTCCAAAACACACAGCCCTCCCACCACTTGCGCAACCTTCTCTCTCTCTCTCTCTCTTTCCTGCACCACTCCTCCCGTCCCACGCACGCCTTAACCACTGAGGCAGAAAAGAGAGAGAGCGAGAGAAGAAAAAGAGAAAAAGCATTTCCTCTTTTCATGTGGCTGCAGCTCAATCAGCCTCTCTCTCTGTTGGCCCAAGCCTGCGAGGACCTCGTGTCTTCATGCAGCCGTTTCAATTCCCTTTTTCTGGCCTCCCCTCTGCACCCCTCTCAACATTACGCCACCACTTGGAGGGAATCATGGGAAAAGCCTGAAAGCACATCTGGTTCGAGAGAGTTCAGCAAGGACATGAGTTTCTGACACAAGCTGGAGCTTCAGCAGCCAAAGAAACCCAAAAAAGACCCCAGTCCTAGCAGACCCTGCCACTCAATGGTCCAACTTTGCTGGATGGAGCTGTTAAAGTGGAGACGGCTGCTTCGGCGGTGCTGAAACTTTACAAGCCGTTGTTTGACATTTGGTGCTATATTTGGAACGCTGTCCTGTGCAGCCACCCAGCGTAACAGATGTTGAGCTGTGATGGACAGAAGGGTGGGATGTAGTCTAGGGCTGCAACAAGGGTTGGACTGCATCCCCCTTTTTAATACATACAAACCGTTTCAATATACTGGGTGATTCAAAAAGATTCATCCGATTTCAAAATGATTCATTTCACTTGTAAATCATTACAGATCAATGCAGTAAACTGTAAATGGTTTAAATGAGCATAAAGTTTATTATGTAATTGTACAAGTGCTCAGTATGAACCTCCTCCAGCTGTACAGACAACATCAACACGATAGTCAAACTCATCCCATACTGGATTGAACATGACGGGTGTCGCTGCACTCACGGCTCTTTCAGTGCGATTTCGGAGATCATCCAGTGTTGTTGAACCAGCGACGAACGCTCTGAGCTGTTGGAGCTTCACTGCTGATGAAAATCGTGTTGCACAGTTATGACGGATTCACTCTTATTGAAGTGGAGAACGCAACACTTTCTGCTCAGGAGTCTCATCTCCTCTCAGACTGAAGGGAGCCATCTTCCAGTGACAGTCAGAAACTCTATGACCCCCTCTTTCAGTTGGTATGTGATTGGTTCCTAGGCGCCTCACGGTTGTAAACACATGGTGCTTTGAAATCTGATTAACCTTTTTGAATCACCCTGTATTATCACAGTATACAGTTTTAAAGGGAGGTACTGGGTGTTGTAAGTGGTATAAAAGCATTTATTACGCTTTTTTGCCATCTGCACTACTTCAAATTTTCAATTTAAAAAAAAATGTCAACCCATCTATCTAACATGTGCTGACTAGCATTAGCTTAGCCAGCAGGATCACAGCTCTGCTCACCACAGATCATGTTCAGTTCTGGCTAACTAAAGCACCGACACAAATTTAGATGATGATGATTCAAATCTGAGGGAGTGAAGTCGAGCAACTGTAGCTGGAGAGACAGAAAGACGAAAGTAAACCTGTTCAATGGTGTCTGGATCTAACTTAATCTTAGCAAGCAGACTAACAGAGCCAAACAGTGCCAAACGCCACAATCCAGATTAATTCAGACTAACTGCTGCTCTGCTAAAACAAATGCATATGATAAAAACTAATGTCTGAGAGCGGAAAAAGGTTGACTGGCTGGTTTTGGACTGACAGAAAACTGAAATCACACCTGTTGTGTGTGTCAGGGACTATAGCATTTTGGCTAAGCTAATGAGAGTTAGCAGGCCAATCACAGCACACACCGCAGCACAGGCTCAGTTCCAGCTAAATGATGCTATGACCCCCATTGAGAGGATTATCTTTGAGCACGAAGTCAAGTGACTTGTGTCAGAGTAAAAGCCAAAATCAAATGTGCTCTGTGGTGAGTGTAGTTCTTAGCAATTGCTGAGCTGCTATCCATTGCTTTGCCATTGCTGAACTTGTTTTTGAATACTATGGAATACCTTTTCACCCATTTGGCCGAGTCAGGGATGTTTCAGTCACGTTTCGAATGAAAATGCTCCTCAATGTCTAGTCCAGTGCATCTGAAATAGTCCACTTTGCATTTGAGACTGGTCTTTTGGGGTTAGCCTTAGCCTAACATGGACACCAGACCAACTTCTGTGGCCTGGGATGCTTCCTGACTCTGTCAGCTGCACCAGATGATGATGTGGTCAGGGCCTTGTGCACCAAATAAGATGAGGACCAGCTGGTGACGAAGCGCGAATTGATATATCACAATATAGTGATATTTCCCAAATTCCAGTTGTGTCTGACAGTCATATGAGAGAAATAACTTTGGAAATAAGACAAAGCGGAAGTTGGCTTCTTATGTGAATTTCCAGTTCCACCTTAAATGATGCAGCAGTCACATTCAGGTGACAACAGGTATGTAACTGCTGCTCCATTTAAGGTGGAAGAGAAAATTCAAACAGAATTCTGGTGAATAAGAAGCCAACTTTAGACACCCTTGTAGAAATTCATGAAACAACATTTAGTACTGTTTTTGTTGGGGCTGTGGGGCCAGTGTTAGAAAGCAATATTGACAAAAATTCAACTATATATTGTTCAACTTTGTTTTTACAATTTTGCACACCACACATTTTTCAGATTTACTATAGTTTTACCATAGTTATATAGTGAAACCATCAGACTGTACTGTAATATACATTTTTGGTCATACTGCCCACTACTAACTAACTAAATGGCTCTGTTTTCCATAATTGACATCACTGACGACTAATGAGCTTCACTCACAAATCACTGCCATCCTAATACTGTCAAATACATGCATAGATGCTACTTACATCATCTAGCAGTTTGCCCTCCACTCTAAGTTCCCACGATGCCACCTTCTCAGCCTCCTCCCCCTCTGGCTTGGCAGGTGTGCAGGTGTTGGAGATGTAGATCCTCAGCTTGCGCTTTTGCTGGAACGGAAAAAAGATACAAACCAGTCTTTCAACTCTCTCATTTGTCACTATAATGCCATGTGTTTATAGTCCAAACAAGAAACTGATGATGAGGAAGATTTACATCATTTATAATTAAAAGTTAATTACATGGCATAATTATATGGCCACAGACATGTAATCACAAGGCAAAAGGCTGTAATGGTGACTTGTCTAACACTCACACCTCACCACTGGTGACATTTGATATTAATCCAATATGTGATTTCTTTTACAGAAATACAGTTTCTGACACTGTTTAACATTGTTCTATCCTTAAATTCAGTGCCATCTTAATTTTAGTGCTACCTTAAATGTAGTTCCACCTTTAATTCTATGCTACCTTAAATTCAGTGCCACCTTAAATCTAGTTCCACCCTAAATTCTGTGCCACTTTAATTTAGTGATGTTAATTGCAGTTTTTACCTTAAATTCATTATTTGTGCTGATACTGCTGTGCAAGCATGTGATACTGTATGTACTGTACTGTGTATGAGTGTCTTTTTTAAATATATATATATGTCTTTGAACAACGATTTTACGAAAACCGTATGTTGGATCGCTCAGAAAAGCACAAGCACACTTGGCAGGTGTGGGACCTATGATCCTACAAAGTTTCGTGGTTCTAGCTTAAAAAACCCTGGGACAAGAAACATTTTATATTTTGAGAGTAGAATAATAAGAAGAAGATTATGAAGAACAGTAAGTTAAAGCCAGCTTAATTAAACAGTAGTAGCCATTTTAAAGCTGGAATTTTATCCATACAAAAAATAAAATAATAAAACAAAATAGCAAGTCTTTCTGAGATTACTTTCCAACTCGACATGGTTTGTGCCAAGCGTGTGATGATGGGATGCAGTTTGCTCCGTGCTGATTGGTGGGTATAAGCTTCCATTACTTGTTAGCTACATTAGTAGCTCCAGTGCAAATGCCCACTCAGCCCTGGCAATCAAAGAGCAGAGGACAGCCAGCAGGAGGATGGATGGACACAATTAGAGGAATCATGAACAAGCCATAAAGAAGCCTGAAAGCCCAACGTCTCTTAAAATGGCCTCAATATCTATTCTAGAATGGAAGAAAGAGACGCATACAGTGCAAAAAGAACAGCGTACTCATTCTAATGGCAAGAGTTTTCACTCGAAACACATTATCATTAATTATCTGGATGTGGTCCCACAGCCTCTCAGCATGCCTAATGTAGTTCAGCAGGAATACATTAACACTGCATTACAAGTGACCCCGCTTTTGCCTCTAGAATTGTTTGCGTGCCCATCCATCCTCATTAGGTTCTCTTACAGCGGTGTAAAAATGCATCAGTGCGTTGTGAAGCAACAATATGAGGGCGACGACCGCCTTGCATTCATTTTGTAACATTATAATAAATTATACTAATATTCATAAAAGAACGCTGTTATTTTTTGGCCAAAATAAATGTTCTTATTATTGTTACGTAAGACTGCATACATTATTACTGTCTATATTCTACCACTGTCTAGTTTCTTCAGTCCTATTTGTGAATTCAGTGTATTTTTTAAATGAATCTGAATTGCACCAACATAATTCCCCCTAATCAATTAAACACCCACGGCCTTGCTCGTACTTCAGCTCCATTACGACCACGTTCCCTTCACTATACAGCAATGGGGAGGCCACTTTACCGTGATGGGCTTCTTGATGGCCTCCTGGATCTCCATGCGCTTGCGGGCGATTGTCTGGTCCAGCTTCCTCTCAAATGCCAAGAGGTCCATGTAAGCCTGTGACTCTGGAACCAGGTCTCGAATCTGCACAGCAACGTGATGCCATAAGCGCTTATGGAAACAAACCAACAACAAATGAAACAAACTCATTAAGGCAAGATGATAAACTCACCCTCTGTGGGAGGACTTTGTCAGCCATCTTGCGTCTTTTAATCCTGAAACATTAAAGCAGATCATTTAAGAACTTTCTCGATATTTCTTTGTACATAATGTCACTGTTGGGGCAAAACTTTCTATCTCCACTTTTGTCATTATTTACTATTTAACATGGCAGTTGCCATTTATGTTGTGTTAAAATTTAACGAAGAATGGAACAATAGAAACGCTCCAAAATTACTTGGAAAAAACTTCTATTAACTTCTATTCAAGGTTAAGAAGGTTTTTGCCTTTTGCTGTAAAGTTATCATTATGGAAAGAGGAGATTTCGTCCCAACAGTGACGATACATTTAATTGAACCCAAATAATTCATATAACCTGAAAGTAAACCATTAACCATTTGGTAAGCTATGAAAAGTCAAAACCCAACGAACAAAACTGAGAAAAAAACTTTAATTTAATTTGACACAGGTTTGAACGCTGCTGGTGGCAGTTTATTCAGCATGTAATTGACATTAGGAAAGAAAGTCATTTGTATTATTTAAATCTATGCCTTTTAAACTCTAAGGAACCCATTCAACTCTGGCTCACATTTCAGTTCCTCAGTTTTACGACCACATAACTGATATAACAGTAGTCACTGAATGCACAGCAGATGCACAGCAGTCGCTGAATAATTAATTCCTCTCTGCAGGCCTACTAATGGATATTTTTATGAAAATATATTATTCAAATGGTCATGTAAACAGCGCACTCTGATTTCTTAGATTAGAGTAAGGTCTATAAATCTGATTAAGAAATCCAATAAAGAGAGTTGGATTTTAGCTCAGTAATCAGATTTCTCAGTGCATGTAAACTCTTACTCTGATTTCTTTCAGATTTCTCAGTCTGTGCATGCACAAAAACAGACGGCGGTACCGGAAATAAGCAAACAGCATCACCGCGAAACACTTTTGGAGTGATGCTGAAACCAAAAACATGCTTGACGAAATAAAGAATTAAATATTCTTCATCTTCTAGATGATGTATGTTCATATTTTCAGGTAAAGTGGTGCGATGTTTTTAAAAACAACCCGCGGCATGACATCAAGTCTTCTTCTGTGAGTTTATTGGTTGGTTGCAAAGCAGAAATCTGATTACTGTCTGACTCATATAGACCCAGAGTCTATAAAACGTGTTGATCAGATTACTGACAAAATCTGAATTTCTGCAGGACTCACCAGCGGACCCAAAGGCTTATTACACACTTCTATAACCTAAGAATAGCTCAGACAGATTGCACTAAAATCCCTGTAGTTACAGAGTAATAAGCCTCAGTATGTAATAAGCCTGGGATTTTATGGGGGTTAACTACTTGCAATATCCACTATATGCTTAAAAAAAGCACACTGTGGTGTAATGTGTCATGATAATGATAAAATATCATATTGCCCACCCCTAATTTAAACTGAATTAAAATAATTTCAAATTTATTTAATGATATTTCAATTCAAGGCCAAACTGAGGGACCTCAAAATGCACTGAAATTGAAATGTATTGCCACTGTGAGTTAATAACTGAATAAAAAGGTTAGTAGGTCAGCTGAAGTTCTAAGAAAGTAAAATCATCCTGACACAAAGTTGTCCTGAATAACACTAATTTATCCAACATATGTAAGTCCGGTCTTCATCCTAGCCTTCTTTTTTAAAACTGGACAGTGGGCACAGCTGTAACCACACATCTCCCTCTCGGCTTATTCCAGCAGTTATGATCATGAGACATCTTTAGAGTTAAGCTTCCTTTGTTTCACACCAACGCCTTCGCCTCGCCCTTCAGAGAAACAAACGCATCTCTGAGTAACAGGACAAAAAGGCCTTTCTGTGCTCAAAGCCAAGCCACTGTCAATTAGAACAAGCCGAAAGATCAACCTCTTTTAAACAGCGCTCTGCTGGTGTTCACAGCTGTTTATTTGGGGAACCCATGCTTTTGCTGTCAGGCACGATTTATCAGCCCCCCTCCACCTCATTCATCGCTGGGCAGTTTCTGACCACAGGACTGCTGCTGTCCAGATATTATTCGGGTGCTGGATCATTCAGAACAGCAGTGACACTGACACGGTAGTTAACATCAAACTTAACATCATGATATTTTCTACTATTCTTATAATAATAAAGTGATCATTTTTTTTTTATTATTACAATTATCATCAACTTAATAAGTTCTTCAAAGTTAATGACCCAAGCTTCCTTCTTAACCTTATAAAATGCGGTCAGTATAAAAGGCTGGACAGATTTGCCCTTTAAAGGTAAATTTCACTGATTAGAATTAGAATTAGAGTCAGAATTCTTCACAGTGCTGGTGATGGGAACCAGACGTCTGAAAAGCCTAAAATGCATCTAAAAGCTCCTTCACAGAAACTTCCTACATGAAATGGTTATGAATTCTCCGCTAAGACAGTGTTTTATACTTCTGAGACAAGATTTTTGCCTAAAACATTTTTTAATCCAACCATCCAGGGCAACACAGTCGCCAAAGAAAACTTATTATTTTAGATTGTCCACTGTTTTACCATCATCAACATTACTTATGAAAACTCAGAAGACACATGTAGGCTCACTGGTGGTTTTAGATAATAAATAAAATGGTTATATTCGTGACAAGTCCTGGCAACCTTTGATAAGCTCCATTCACCACCACCGTAAAGAACCATTTCACCTCAAAGCACTCTGAATGACGGCACTGTACAATTCTGAAAAAATGGAATTCCCAAAAAAGTGTTTATTTATGCCATTTTCTCTATTCCTTTCCATTAATAACGCGATTCTGAAAGCTGTTGCTGTTTTTTATTCATCAGTCAGGCTTCATTACTATAAATTAACAAAATAATTCCACTCCGAATTCTACTCTGCACACTTTCTCTTCACGTGCACTTTGAAAAACATTGTGCTTGAAACAAAACAAACAACGTTCTATATCAAACAAAGCAGTTTCCATTCAAATGTTTCGCAAATGTTATGGTCATTTACGAAATTTCAGCGAAAAAAAAACGGATTGCGTCGTGTTTCTATCCACTGCGGTTATGCGAAGAAACTTGATGACGTAGGCTACCATGATTAGGGGATTTAACTTGGATTTTGCTTTAAGTAGAATCATCTTTACAGACATTTGCAATCTTTTAATGATTGTCTGCAGCTCAGAGACGCGGGGCAGGATGAGCGATGGCCCGTCTAATGAGGGCTGAAATCTCTGCGCCACCCTGACCACGTCCACCACATTGTGCAGAGCAGTTTTTCAAACGAGCTTTGATTAGAATGAGTAAGCGACCTTCGATAAGCTTTGCGACTTCTGCACAAAAATAGTGCACTATATATATCCACTAGCGAATTGTGCACATGTGGCTGAATCTCAAATGGCTCTCTTTTAGACATATTATGCACTGCTTGAGTGCTGGAGTCATTATTTTAAGACCTACGCAGTGTAGTATGTAGAGAGTAGGGGGCTGTTTGCAATCGAGCCTAAGTGATCATGAAGTAAAAGGCAGTGTGTGGGGCGGTGGAGCCGGAGAGATTGGCTGTGTGAACAAGCGGGTAATCAGTAACGATTTACACCTGTGCTTCGGCAGCATCGAAATATACCTTCGTACTAAAAGAAACCAAAAAATGTTACTATTGATACAGACAGTTTCTCTGTTACAAAGATTTCTCTCATCTAATCAGAGTAATGTAGTACATATTCAATCCAGTGTTTATTCCTGTACTCCTGAGAGCCAAAGTGCATCTGCGGTTCCTAAACAGAGGCGCAGGAGCTGAAAGTGCAGGTCTAAAAGTTGCAGTACTGTGACTCTGCAGTTGGATACCACTGCCCAAAACCCCTGGGGTCAGCTAGCTCCAACCTGAACCCGTCCCCCAGTTCACGCTCACCCTCTCCGGGGTCCCATCAGCCCCCCTGCTTGCTGTTGGAGCAGTCTCTTGCGGGCCGGGTCCAGCGACGACTGAGGCATGCCGGGGCGACCGGGCATGCCGCTTCCGTAGGATGGCCCGGGCATGGGGGAACCCATTGGCCCCATCCCACCCATGGGCATGCTTCGGCTGGGTGGCATGCCTGGGCGCTGCACATACGGGTCAGAAACATATACAAACATATGTTACAACACAGAGCAGAAAGGGAGAAACACAGCAATGCAGGTAACGATGGGCAGTGTGGCAAAAATACTACAAGTGTGGAGTGCAATATATAAAAATACTATGATGTTAATAATAATAATAAAAATAATAATAATAATAGTAATAATAAACCTACTTTAATGAATTTATTCAGTGTTTTACAAACTGCACTGCACTAAATCTGGTTAAACAAGATTATTATGGTCACTTTATAATGAAACGTATTTAGTCAGTGTTCTTTAAGTACTGACGATATCCACGATATGCTCAGAAAAGCGTACTGGGACATCATTTATCACAATATGGATAAAATATCGTCATATTGCCCTCCCCTAAATTCAGTTCTTCAGTTATTTCTTTTTTAGTTTGTGAAGCTCAATATTTAGTTTTATGAGACTGAATAAGTAGGAACAGACAAAACAGAAGCTGGAGTGCAACATATAAAAATACTATGATGTTAATAATAATAATAAACCTTCTTTAATGATTTTATTCAGTGTTTTACAAACTGCACTGCACTAAATCTGGTTAAACAAGATTATTATGGTCCCTTTATAATGAAACGTATTTAGTCAGTGTTCTTTAAGTACTGACGATATCCACGATATGCTCAGAAAAGTGTATTGGGACATTATTTATCACGATAAGGATAAAATATCGGTATATTGCCCTCCCCTAAATGCAGACACAAACTCAGTTCTCGGCTTATTTCTTCTTCAGTTTGCTCTCCTTGTTTTCGTGTCTGTTTACGAGATGTGACGCAACATCGCGTCAAACCTCAACAGCTGCGAGAGGACCATAAAACTGAAATTTAGAGACAATTTTATTCACAAAACCCAGTCAGAGCGCATCGTTTAGGAGTGGACGGTGATCAGTTTCAGCTGCTTTCTCAGAAACGGTTTCACTTTGGAGACGCGGAAGTTCGCCCAGCGTTCATGCTAACAGAGAAGGAAAACTAAAACGGTTATTCTGTCATTTTTACCGTCACATTTTCCCGCCACATGGCCGAAGGGGCTGTGGCGGTGGAGCGTTAGCGCCGCAGGTTCACACCAAGCCCAGGTTTGATGTTTATTTCAGACGAAATGAACGCTACTCGACTCAAACCGCGCTGTGTGGAGGCAGTTAACGTTAGCTTAGCTGACCTAGCCGCTCCCTCAGACAAAGCGCGAGCGAGCGAGCGAGGCGAGTTCGTAACGAAAATAACGAACTTGATCAACTTGAAGTGAAACAGAGGCGGATTAAACGGGGATAGCGGCTCTAACGGTCTTCGCGAACTTTCCGAAGGAGCGCGCTGCCGCCGCGGTGTCTTACCGGGTACTGTCCGGCGGGGCTGGGGAGACCCCGGTAGCCCCCCGCGCTCGGTGGCATCCCCGCTATCCGCACTCCGCCTGGTGGACCCGCGGCGCCGGGGTTCGCGCCGCCGGGGCCAGCGGGGCTGTTCGGGAGAAACCCCGCTCTGGAGGCCATGCTGCCCGCGCTCCTGCACTCAACTCACACACACGCTCTCTCACTCACTGTTTCTGTTTATCTCTCTCTCTCTCTCTCTCTCACCCACTCTCGCGCTCTCTCTCTCTCTCTCACCCACTCTCGCGCTCTCTCTCTCTCTCTCTCTCTCTCTCTCTGGCCCCGCCCCGTACCGCATCTGTCCGCCTTTATGATTGGCTCCTCGGAATTTTGTCTAAACGCGTGACCAATGGCGGAGTGCGGGGGTTACCGTTTCTATGGGCAACACGGCTAGGTTGCCAGATAATGTTTCTTCTGACTCCCCCTAAGGAAACGATAGACGTAAAGATGAGTTTTATTTCGTTGTGTTTATTATTTTATGTTTTTTAGCTTATTAACCATAGTGAGCTTATTTCAGATGAAAAACAAAGAACTTCGTTAAGTAAAAGTGTAACAGTGCTTTATTTATAAAATGTGTTCTATTACTTAAGATTAAAATTAAGTGGCCTTTATTAGTCCCACATCGGGGAAATTTCACCTCTGCATTTGACCCATCCGTGCAGTGAAACACCACATACACACTAGTGAGCACACACACACACACACACTGGGGGGCAGTGAGCACACTTGCCCGGAGCGGTGGGCAGCCCTATCCGTGGCGCCCTGAGAGCAGTTGGGGGTTGGGTGTCTTGCTCAAGGGCCCCTCAGTCATGTGCTGTTGGCTCTGGGGATCGAGCCATTTTCCGGTCACAGGGTTGGTTCCCAAACCTCCAGCCCACGACTGCCCCCAGTCATGGCATTGAATGCAATTACATTGTTTTTATCGTGAGAAATATCGAATCGTGAAGCCAGAATCAAGAATCGAATTGTGGGCTGTGAGTGTAGGGCACATATATATATATATATATATATATATAGCTTTTATATCGAAACCGCAGTTTGAAAGAGTGTAATTTTCAAATCGCAAGGACTGCAATTGTAATTCTGGTCTACATTATCAAGAAATTTTAAGTGGGAAAATTTAGCCTAATAACACAGAGCTTCTGTGAACTGCTTGTAGGTAGGTAAGTTAAATTTTAAATTGCAATAGTGGTCAGATAAATCGCAGTTAAATATTCTACTCAAATCGATCAGCCCTAGCTGAGGTCAGCTGAGTGTGTCACTAGACTCTCTTTTATTAAGGCCGAAGTGCATAACTGACACTCAGTGAGTAGTTTCTTTTGAAGTATAACCAACAGGTTTGGGCATAATCCGGTGAAAATCATCGCTCTCACTCTTCATCACTGTTTTCATATATGTCAACATATACGGTGGTTCAACTTTAGTGAGATACACTGTATGGACAAAAGTATGGGTACACGCCTTCTAATTATTCGGTGGATAAAGGTGGATAAAATGAAGCACCCAGCCTTGCAGTCTCCGTAGACAAACGCTGGCAGTAGAATGGCTCGTACTGACGGGCTCAGTGACTTTGAACGTGGCACTGTCGTAGGATGTTTGTGAAATTTTGTCCTGCTAGTTCTGCCCCTGTCAACTGTAAGTGGTACTATTGTGAAATGGAAGCATCTAGGGGCAACAATAGCTCAGCCACGAAGCGGTAGACCACACAAACTCAGAGAGTGAGCGAATCACTTCCAAATTGCCTTTGGAAGCAACATCAGCAAAGGAACTGTGCATTACAAGCTTCACGAAATGGGTCTGGGTTTGGCGAATGCCAGGAGAACGTTACCTGCCTGACTGCACTGTGCCAGCTGTAGAGTTTGGTGGAGGAGGGATGATGATATGGGGTTGTTATTCAGGGGTTGGTCTAGAACCCTTAGTTCCAGTGAAGGAAATCTTAATGCTTCAGCACCAAGACATTTTGGACAATTGTACGCTTCCATCTTTGTGGGAACAGTTTGGGGAAGAACCTTTCCTGTTCCAGCATGACTGAGCCCCAGTGCTCAAAGCAGCTCCATAAAGGCCTGACTGGGTGAGTTTGGTGTGGAAGAGCTTGACTGGCCCTCACAGAGCCCTGATCTCAACCCCATCAAACACCTTTGAGATGAACTAGAACGGAGATTGTGAGCCAGGCCCTCTCGTCCAACATCAGTGTCAATTTTCTGTGACAATCCATTTATCAATAACTCTGCAGGAACAACACTCCGCATCACTTCATTTGGAATGGGTGGAGCTAAACTGCGGCAGGCTGAATGGGAGGTGATGTGTAAAAATGTGTAAATGCATTCATGCCGAACTAAAAACAGACTTGATTTTATGGACTGGAGAGTGAAAAGGACATTTTGAAACTTTCACCGGTGTTCATTAAAGTTTTTTCATTAAAGAAATCGTGGTACAGGCCCTTCAAGTTTCTTGTTACGGTGGACATCAAGGTCCATGATTTGCAGCAGAGCAGATGCAGAGGCCAAAAATGGCAAACGCTGGCAGTTTGGTGGTTCCTGTTTGGTGGCGGTACTTGCTGTTCCTACTTCTGCATTCACCATTGTCAGTTCCTGACCACAGCTGCCCATCTCCCTGCTGGGTCTCAGCATTTTCTTCCCCTTTATTTGTTTGAAATGTGAAGAAAGGCACTGTTTTACTGAGTTAAAGGGAATCACTCAGTGAGTCACAACTACGTTAGTTAAAGACTTAAATAAGTTGAGATTTGAATATATAAAAAAACCGAGTGTGTCTTAATGCAGTAATGGGCTTGTTGTCCGTCCGCACTGTTCATGACTGCACCATTGACCCCTACTTTGAACAAGGCTATTGACTGGTTTAGAAATTTCACACTCAGTTTGTTCCCACCTTGATAAGTCTGCCTACATTTAGCCCAGAATTTGTCATGGCTGCCTTTAGACGTTTATTACGAGATCATCTAAATCCCAGTCTGAGCGCAGCAAACTGAATGCTGTGGTTCTGAAATGTTAAAGAACCAATAAATGTATAAATACAAAAAAAATCGTCAATGCTAAATGATAAGTTGTTAAATATTATGCTGAAGAAACTACTAAAAATTTGCATGGGAACATCCCTAAACCTCAACACTCATTAAGACTGCAAAGACATATGAATATGCACAATTATTCAAATTCTAAACATCCTGTTGTTGCCCCGTTTATAAGCTCTGCCCCCTCCCCACTGCCTTGCACCCCAACTCTGTTACAGACTGAACAGCTTGATACGAGACAGAGCAGAAACTAAAATAAGCTTCCACTGTAACTTTAATAATCAAAAAGGTTCTGTCTGTTAGTTCAGCACCAGCCACTCGATTTCACTCGCTCAGATTTGAGTCTTTATTCTCTAAATTAGCCTCAGTGCAGCGTCAGTGACCCGAATCGCTGGTGATTTCACCTTCTTGCCACGCTAATGTTAGCCTCTGGTGCTAACAAGGATATACATCTAAAGTAGCTTAAGCTAACAGCTTCACACATAACACCACAGATTTATCCGCTAAGATTTGAGTCTGTATTCTCTAAACCTGCGTCAGTGAGGCTTCACTGAGCCGGAATAAACCTGTGTGGTTGGGCCTAAAGCTGTTCTCGCTAATCTAACGCTAGCTTCTAGTGAGTGTGGTCAAATGTGGCAAAATTAGCTTAGGCTAACAGCTCCACACAAAAATACACAAATACACTCACTTAAAACTAAATGTTTATTCTGAAAACTCACAAAAATGAATCTGTGCTGTGGTGAAAGTGTAGCGAAACTGCAGCATGCTAAGCTACTAGAGCAGCATGAAACTGTAGCACACTTACTGCAACTCTAACAGCGCCATGCGGAGGTGAGGGCCAGAGCCTGAGTCTCAACCGGCAACGAGAACGTCCGAAGGACCCCGGGACTGACCTCACACGGTGTTGCTGTGGGACGTTAGGGTAATGTTCTCTCCCTTTCAGCTTAGCTCCCCTTAAGAAAAAGCCAGCTGTGCTGTTTTTGCTGCGTTTCCTGGGATCGTCAGCGTTTGGGGCTTGGGCTCTGACCCCACGCCGCCTCCTGCGCCTGCCACATCCTCTCATTTGCTTATTTTATGATACGTGATAGGCTAAAGCTCACTTGTGACAATATAGTAATAGTAATAAGCTGTCCAAGAGAAGCTAACCACTTTAAAAACACATATGAGTGAGTTTTTTTTGGGTGGGTTTAAAAAGGAAAATGAGCAATGCTTTCTTTTTAAGTGAACATAAGTGCTTAAACTAGCACCTACATTCACCTGATCTACAGAACTAAGAACCTTCAATTGAGGTAATACAGTAATGGGACGTCCCCCGGGGAAAAAATGGTGAGGCCAAGTAGATGAGAGCTTATTAAAACTGGTACGGAAAGGGCCGGTCTAACCGTACAGCAAAAAGGTGGGGCCACAAGGCAGGAGTTTCTAATAAAGTGGTCAGGGACTACACACGTTCAAGGTTCTGATCGTTTATTACACGTGACATGTCCACAAGCACACGGCTCATGGCCAGGATAGCAGCATTTTTCACCTAGTCAAATATATGTACAGTTACAACACAGTGAAGACACACGATTCCTTACACTGTAAACATCTAGTACACAGAAACGAGACCGAAAATGCAAAACGATAAAAGGAGAAACTCAAGCCTTGATTCGTTCCCCTAAAAGGAATAGGTACGTCTTTGTCAGTGGCAAGTTCAAGTGTCCATATACAGTCCCAAAGATTAATTTAATTTTTTTTTCCTGTAATAGTGTGAAGATCATAATTATTCGTCAAGGCGTTGCAGTTCTTTAGCCTTGAGAACAGGTGAAAAGCAGCATAGTGATTGATGATTTATCAGTCCTGACTTTATGGTTCCTTCTCTTAAAAACATCCTCTGAATGAGAGCTCAGAGACAGGATCAGTCTTGAAGGGAGGAATCCATCACTCCGTGCTCAGCTACTCCCACCTGCCACTGTAACCAATGGCCCCGCCCACGTCCTCCCTGAGAGCTTCCCTTATTGTGCACGTTCCACACTGTCAGGCTGAAGAACTATCAAGCTACGGTGTCAAGACGAGACGATCAACACAACATCGATTAATTGTGCAAAATATTCCAGACGAATTAAAACAAACACTTGTGTAAACTGAATGATGAAGCTAATCGATGTCGCTTCTGCCGCTCAGGCGCAGTTCGAGGGTCATGCATCTGCTTCTCAAGGTGAGCCGAGCCGAACGGCATTGTGGGTAGTGACTGGAGGGGCCTCCCGTCGACAACGTTGTTACTGTGGAAACGACCCATCACTTAGCAACACACACGAACTCTCCTGGTTCTCGCCGCGTCGCTTGGAGCCCAGCAAAGCTGAAGGACGAACACGGATCTTCGTCAGTCGGTCATCCTCACTCCTACATGGACAATTCATATTGTTGGAGATGTTAGGAACATCAGACGATTACATCATTCCAGTAAACACGTTCATGCAACGTTATGGTCTTACAGATATGGAAAATGTGTCTGAATAAAGTGAGAACTATGGAGGATGAAGTGGAAAGCTCCAGCTACAATCATGGAAGAGCTGAAACCATTGTTGACTCTGTGTGTGGGTGTGTGTGTACACATACATATATATATATAAAAATATATACATACACACATATACATATACATACATATACATACACATACACATACATACATTATACATTTTTTTATTTGAGCAAATAAGACAAATACAGTTAATTGTGTTAATCATTTCACAGCCCTAATATAAACAGTTCTTCTTATTTACTACTGTTTTACTGTTCCATATACGTGTTTTGCTGTTACATTTTGGTATTTCATCCCATATAAGTGCACAGACTCACCATTTTTGTGTTTTAACGATTTGGATCTTCTTGGTGAATTTGAATTCTGTGGAGAAAAGAAATAAGAGACTTGAAAAATCTAACTACAGATTTTTTGTATGGAACACAAGAGCATAGAAAAACTCACCAAAAAAGGACAGCCAAGACTTGCTGGTTAATAATATTAAATAGAAACTGTACTGAAATTGTGTTTGTTTTGCCTTTATTTGAAGGCTACCTTCATAAGGAGTTCATCACATGCATAAATACTGAATAACATATTTATAAAGCAGTACTTGATTATTTCTGAACAGCTTATGCCATTAATCACAAGATGACATGTGGTTTTACAAAATAAATGACACTGTACTGACATAAAGGGGCCCCTAAACTGTAGTCACACAGATCTTAATCGAAACTGTACACTGTCAAAGAATAACTTTAATAACACACAGTATTTCTGATGCTTAAGCACATTTAAAAGCAGGAACTCAAGTAGAAACAAAGACAGGGACCTCCTACTCCTTGTTTTCTTATCTAGGCCTCTGCCTTATAAGTTCAATTACACAGGGATGATGAATCATAACTTTTTTAATCTGAAAAATGCCTTTCCTTTGAAAAAAACATTTGTTCAATTTATAACACTGGTATAAATCATCATTCTCGGGTGACCGAATTGAGAAGGTGAATTAAGCAAACCATACCAGTTTCACTACGTATTTCCACTCCAGCTCCATTAGAGAATGAGGCTTTATAACAGTGTTATGAATGGAACAAATGTCTGTCACTTTAAGGCCCACTGTGTGAATACAAAACCTTCTTGCAGTTACAGGAATTAGCTTTTCAGAAATGTTTATTTGTTGCTTTGTAAATAAGGGGGGTTTTCTTTTTACTGAAATTTCAAAGCATCATTTAAAGAATGGAAAAATACCTTATCTGCTTTTCTCTTCTTGGCTGCAACACAAAATAAAACAAGGGTCAAAAGATACACATAAAAGTGGCATAATTCATTCTCACACTTGTAGACAAACATGGTTTAATGAAAGAAAAAAAAAAAAAAAAAAACAATATAAAGTGTCCTGCACTAACGTTATGGCACATCTTATATTGTATATTTAATTATAAGGCCGCTGCACACTGGATATGGCTCACCATAGCAGAGACAGTGCAAAGTGCTAATAAACTACATAGCATACTTCAGCGCGAGAGCGCGCAAAGCATCGCAGTGAGAGCTCTGGTAAACAGCAACGTGTTGCAGTGAGTGCCACTAAATGGTAACGCATGGCGGGAGGAGCGCAGCTAAACGGCAATGCAACACAGCGAGAGGGCCGCTAAACGGCAATGTGACACAGCAAGAGGGCTGCTAAGCGGCAATGTACTGCAGCGTGAGTGCACCGCTAAACAGCAATGCATTGCAGTGAGAGAGCCGCTAAACAGCAAAGCACTGCAGTGAGAGGGCCGCTAAACAGCAAAGCACTGCAGCGAGAGGGCCGCTAAACAGCAAAGCACTGCAGCGAGAGGGCCGCTAAACAGCAAAGCACTGCAGTGAGAGAGCCACTACACAGCAAAGCACTGCAGTGAGAGAGCCACTACACAGCAAAGCACTGCAGTGAGAGGGCTACTACACAGCAAAGCACTGCAGTGAGAGGGCCGCTAAACAGCAAAGCACTGCAGTGAGAGGGCCGCTAAACAGCAAAGCACTGCAGTGAGAGAGCCACTACACAGCAAAGCACTGCAGTGAGAGAGCCACTACACAGCAAAGCACTGCAGTGAGAGCCACTAAACAGCAATGCACTGCAGTGAGAGCCACTAAACAGCAATGCACTGCAGCGAGTGCGCCGCTAAACGGGAAAGCTCTCTAATGAGAGCAGCGCTAAACGGCAATGCAGTGTTGCAAGAGTACAGCTAAATGGCAAGTGATGCAATGAGAACGCGGCCAAGCGGCAATGCTGCATTGCTGTTTAGCGGCCCTCTCGCTGCAGTGCATTGCTGTTTAGCGGCCCTCTCGCTGCAGTGCATTGCTGTTTAGCGGCCCTCTCGCTGCAGTGCATTGCTGTTTAGCGGCCCTCTCGCTGCAGTGCATTGCTGTTTAGCGGCCCTCTCACTGCAGTGCACTGCTCTTTAGCGGCCCTCTCGCTGCAGTGCATTGCTGTTTAGCGGCCCTCTCGCTGCAGTGCATTGCTGTTTAGTGGCCCTCTCGCTGCAGTGCACTGCTGTTTAGCGGCCCTCTCACTGCAGTGCATTGCTGTTTAGTGGCCCTCTCGCTGCAGTGCACTGCTGTTAAGCGGCCCTCTCACTGCAGTGCATTGCTGTTTAGTGGCCCTCTCACTGCAGTGCATTGCTGTTTAGCGGCCCTCTCACTGCAGTGCATTGCTGTTTAGCGGCCCTCTCGCTGCAGTGCATTGCTGTTTAGCGGCCCTCTCACTGCAGTACGTTGAAAAACTCAAGTGCTCGGAAACGCAGAGCACCACTGTGCATTGATCCGGGCGTTGCCGCCAGTGTGTGTAGCTTCATTAGAAACGTTTGAACACTGCGCAGTGCAGTGTGTCTGATGTGCAGTGGCCTTTAGAGCTCCTAAAAATGTAGCAGCAATACTGGACAAACACTGTAATAACTGAGCGCACACGCACACACGCACACACACACACACACACACACCTTTCTTTTCTGCCCCGTAGGACCAGTCATTGTCATTGACGTCATCGTTGTCCTCTTGATCGCTCTCGGATTTGTTTGTGTTGTTGCCACTGGCTATTCTGAATAACGGGGAGAAAAGAAAAGCAAAATCAGCAGCAGTCAAAGGTTTAGACAAACCTGCTTAATGAAGGGTTTTCTTTATTTGTACTGTTTTCTTTCTCTATATGTTACTATTTTAGAGTAACAGTAAAGACACTAAAGCTGTGAAATAACATATGTAATTACTACACAGTCAAAAAAGACTGAGCTTCTTTGAAAGTGATATTTATACCCACTTTACTAACAACGCACCTGACTCTAACTCATTAACTAGTACACGTTAACTTTAATGAGGCGCGTAATCAGAATGATATAATGACTGGGATTCGGAGTTTCCCAACTAACTTCAACCAAACACTACATGAAACCAGGAGGGCATCAAAATGACTTTGTTGAAACCCGTTTTTCTCCCCAATTTAGCATCGAAGCTCCAGCACAAACCTAACCCTGCATTCACACCGGCAGGGACACAACACGACAAAGTGGCCGGAGGTCATTCATTTTCAATGGGAGCTGGTGATTTCCGGCGACGGGAGGCGGAGCAAACGTTGGCTGTGAAGTGGGCGGAGTCAGCAACGCGACAAAGTTGAGTGGAGTTTAACTTTATGCAAATAAGGAGTGAAGCGATGTGGGGATTACCAATAGGAATTGAGCACTGAGCAGCGTAGTACACGCTTTACCTCAGCCACTGTGAAACATTAGGCTCCATTTTTGGTTCCTAGATAATTGTTCCTACTAGAGATGGAATAATGGCAGCGGTGCTTTCGTCGCAAATAGATGATAATCACAAAAACCGAATAGCGTTTTCCTCACAAACTGACTGCACAGACACGGGGATTAAATAAAAATAAGCACACGACCGATTTCTCACCAGGATATTCATTTCTAGATCATCTGATTTGTGCGTTAGTGAAACCATGGCAACCAACGGTCCACTCAAGTCCAGAAACACCGTTGAGCGATCAGCGATTTGGGCGACAAAAGGCGAAAAGTCGCTGCCGGTGTAAACGCAGGGTAACACAGCAAACCGAAGACACCAAATATGTTTGGCTGATTGACTACATTTGGGGTAAGAAGAGAAACTGGTTATTTGCCAAACTAGTCCTTTAAAAGATTCCCCCCCCTGATTTTCTCTGTTTTAACACTTCTGCGTGAGACCATCCGCTAATCATCAAGCCAGATTAAGTCTACTGGAGCAACATTCACAAAGCAGTGGAGATATACAGCCGGTGAAGCAGTGATGAGTCTTTAAAACATGTTTTGTTCTTTCTGAACGAGTTTTTAAACTATCTTGATGTTCTGTTGATACATTACTTACATTAAGTAGATGTGTTGTTAATATGTTACTTCCATTACACAAAAACCAACCTTACCCAACACCTAACCCTCACCCTGGCCCTAACCCTAACCGTAACCCTAACCTCATCCCAAAACCTAACCCTAACCCTAACCCTGGCCCTAACCCTAACCCTAATCCTAACCCTCACCCTGGCCCTAATCCTAACCCTAAACCTAATCCTAACCCTCATATGCTTTTGACGTTACTGAGAGTCCGTTGATGGTCTGCTTCATTTAAAAGGACCACTCAAAAGTGTGACCATACCTTAAATATGATATTTGGTAGTCTGTTTTTTTACCCAGTACAAAACTGGAACACTTATTACACAATAAGCCTCGAGGCCTTTTAACTATAAAGCGAAAACACAAAGCGAACTGGGGCTCTTTAGTTTTCACGACGCACCAACCAATCAGACCACAAATACTACAAACGAACCGTAGAGACCACCTGGAGAGGTGCTTTGAGTTTGGCTCATTTTTGGGGCTGTTAAAGAGGGGAGTTCCTTTCACATCTTCACATATGCACAGAAAACCATGTGTCCATTTCAGACGCTGAAATGGTCCAAGTGTGAAAATGGCCTTGGTGACCATCACCAGGCACAGGGCCTAATCGAATGAAATTAACGCACAGGCTAATCTGAGGAAGGACGAGATTTTGATATGTAATCTGTTGCATTGCTGGTTCACTCACTGCAGAAATGCTAAAGAAATCAGTGACTGATTCAGCAGAAAAGAATCGCTTCAGTGAACGACTCGTTCTGAGCAAACTGCTGAAAAGAAGCGTAGAGGTACCTGCGGTTGGCGATGCGGCTGCTGTTGCGGCCCATGCCCAGGCACTTCTCCAGGTGAGGGGCGAAGCGGGACGCGGCGATGCTCCGGCTGCAGTTGGGACACACGCACTCTTTGTTCTTCCACTGGTTGTACACCTGACCGAAGATGTCCACGCCGGGCTGGTCCACGATTTCTGCCAGTGGGAAACAAAGGGAGAGTTCAGGTGAAAGGGATCGTGGTGGAGAGATTCAGACATTGTTTACACGCACACATGGGAACATGTTCTGTTGATATTAACAACAACAACAACAACAACAACAACAACCACATAGAGGAGAAAACCATGGACATGCAAGAACATGAGGAGTGTGAAATCAAGGTCAGGCTAGCGCAGGGGTGTCAAACTCAACCATTAAAAGAGCCAAAATCTCAACAAATCTGATGTCCAGCTGTGTTTCTATTTTATTCTTACTTAACATTTTGCCACGACTCCAACTGGCCACTGTTTGTTCAAAAAATGCCAAAACTACAACGGCAAAAAACGATTCAGTGTTTTAAAAATAATCTTTTATGAAAACTACTTGTTTTATATAAATTAATAGACTATATTAGCCGCAGATCAGTGCTGAACCTCTTTAAATGTCCCCAAAGTACAGTAGGTTTGTAAAACCGCCCATTTGCTTGGTGCTGTCCCATAGATTGTTGTTGGGGAGGGGGTGGGAGCACACATTATGTTACAGTGCATGCTGGGAACTGTAGTGCAGCTCATGGCGAAATGGGCCAACATTAATAGAAAACTAAAATAATTTTGCAGGCCGAACAGAATTGTGCCACGGGCCTGACTTGGCCTGTGGGCCTTGTGTTTGACACATGGGGGCTGCTGTACGAGCACTTTTCGTTTAGACTGCTAGCAACTTAATGAATTCAAAGGTTTGCCAGTTTGCCAATCTTGCAAACATTACCCATAATTTGCCAAACTTGCCCACACACATATTAAATCAGCTGTTCTATTTGTTAGTCAAATATCAAATCACAAGTACATACAAACAAGTCCAAAATGATCCCATGACATGGAACAAGGAATGCACCGATATGGGAATTGAGGGCCGATGCTGTTATCCTATAAAATGTGTATAAATCTGTCGATACTGATGCTTAAAAAGTTTACGAAATGTAGAAACTGGGGCTAAATCTACCTGGATTTGCATAAAAGGGAAATATAACGTGTAGAATTACTAATGCAGTAAAAAGAATAAAAGGCAGATATTTCAGTGAAGGCTGGACGATTCACCGTTTTTATACCAAAATCTCAATTTTCACATCGCAAGAGGTGCAATTTTAATTCTATCCTGTTGCCTTAAGTTACTAAAAATACAACCTAATAACACAAAGCCTATCCTTAAAAAACGGATGTGCTGATCTTCTTGAGAAAAACAAAAGACCTGGAGCTTCATTTAAAATAATCACATTTAAATCATAATTAGATATTTTCCCCAAAAATGAAACGGCCCTAGTAGTAACCCAGCTGTCTGATTTTTTTTTTTAAAGCAATTTCTGTCGATACACATGTGATTCCAATATCAACGTGCATCCCGATGTGGAACGTCACCGAATATCCCAGCCTTAACAACCCCATGCTCTATATATTTTTGTGTTTTGCCTCCTTTAACACATCCAATCCAGCCTACGAGGAGCTTGTAAGTATGGAGTATGGGGTCACCAGGACTGTGATTGTGAATCCTCTGCACTACATTTACATTACATTTGCATTTTCAGAATTAAAAAAAAAAAAATCGAATAATTTTAATTGGAAAAATGTATGAAATAAAAAAAACTAATACTGAATCGTAGCAACACAAAATAACAATCAAATTCTGGTGAAATGGAAGATCATTAACAAAAAAAAAACAGAATTGAATGAAATCATGGTGAAACATGAGATGTAAGGATGTCTGAATCACTTTTTGTAAAGAATCATAGTTGAGTCAAACTGTGGTGACGTGAGATACACCAATGCAGTGAATTGCTTCATAAGGAATCATAATTGAATCAAATTTTGGTGAAAAGTGAAATATAACAATGCAGTGAATCGTTTCTTAAAAGAATCATACGTGAATCAAATCCTGGGGAAACCTGAGATATAATGATGCACTGAATCACTGCAGAAAGAATCATACTTGAATCAAATTTCTGTGAAAAGTGAAATATAACAATGCAGTGAATCACTTCTTAAAGACTCATAATTAAATCAAACTGTGTTGAAATGGGAGAAATAATGCAGTGAATCGTTTCATAAGGAATCATAATTGAATCAAATTTTGGAAAGTGAAATACAACAATGCAGTGAAACGTTTCTTGAACAATCATAAGTAAACCAAATCCTGGGGAAATCTGAGATATAATGATGCACTGAATCACTGCAGAAAGAATCATACGTGAATCAAATTTTGGTGAAAAGTGAAACATAACAATGCAGTGAATCGTTTCTTAAAGAATCATAACTGAATCACATTGTGGTTAATTGGGAGATAGAATGGCTCACTGTTTTGTACTGTTTTGCAATAAATCATAACTGAACTGAACTGTTGTTGGTCAGAGATTTACATTCAGTTCACTGAATAAGGATCACTGTTACAGAGCCACGTGCACTTTAAGGAAGGTGGGCGTTTACCAAAGTCCTTGGTGCTCTCCTGGTCAGTGTCGTCAAGGAAGAAGTAGCCCTGCTTGACGGCCCTGTGCACCTCAAAGCACAGCCCCAAACAAGCGTCCTCCACCAGGTCAGCCAGGATCTCCTGAGCGATGCCCTGGAAGAGCATTATAGTGGTCACCACAATCAGAAAAACACACCAGTCACAACACAGGCTGTATCCTCAGCTACGCCCTGTTCAGCATACAGTGCACTAGTTTGGAGATTTTCTCAACTTAATGCAAATGAAGTATGACGCAGTCTTACTTCTCTGCTCTCTTTTGTTCCTACCAGCATTTTGATCCTATTCCCAACAGTATAGCACCAAAAAAACACTTATAAGGACCAAAAGTCTGAGACCACTATTGAAAACGCTTTCCTAATTTAATACAAAATGTTTCATTACAAATTATATTATCAGTAAAACAATCTGAACGAACAGTAGAAACTGTAAAACAAATTATTTACATGAATTTCTTAGTATTGGTCCCTCTTTTGCTTTAACGACTGTGCACTTGAGTTCGCACGGATTCAATGATATGAATTACGGCAAACGCAGGCAGGCGTGGACGAGGATCACAGGCAAAGCCCCACATAGTGGAGACGTGGCGTGTGGTTGAAGCGGACAGGTGCAGGAAAAAAAGGGCACTAGATTTTGCAGTCGGGTGCGCACGTGACTGGTAGTCTATGTGGGTGGATGCGGGCACTAATAATTAAGCCCATGCAGACCTCTAAAGTGCACATGCCTAGTAGTCTAAACAACCCAGAAAATCTTTTTGTTCTTTGAGCTAAACGCTACATGCTATTTATGCAAAACCAGTGCTTTTAAATACGTTTTTAGGGCATTAATCTGGTTTTCAGTTTTCAGATATATGGGTCTCTCTCCACTCACTGGAATGTGGTCTTGTATGACTGGTGCAATGTGAAATATAACAATACAATGAATCGTTTCATAAGGAATCATAACTGAATCAAATTGTTTCAAGTTGAATCTAATCGAATCGTGGTGAAATCTGAGATAAACGATGCACTGAATTAATTCGTAAAGAATCATAATTGAATCAAACAATGGTGCAATGTGAAATATAACAATGCAGTGAACTGTTTTCTAAAGAATCATAACTGATTCGAATCATGGTGAAATCTCAGGTATAATGATGCACTGAATCGTTGCAGAAAGAATCGTAATTGAATCAAAGTTAGATTAAAAGTGAAATATAACAATGAAGTGAATCCTTTCTTAAAGAATCATAATTGAATCAAACTGTGGTGAAATCTCAGGTATAATGACTCCCTGCACTGTTTTGTAAAAAAAAAAAAAATTAAAAAATATCATAACTCTCCACTCACAAGAATCTGGTCTTGTATGACTGAAAATAACAGGAATCAGCAGATATTTAACCAATATTTCAAATCAGTATTTCACTGATTATTGCCCATCATCAGATTTTGAAGAGCAGAATGTTTAGGTGACGCTGAGCAACGGTGCTCAAATGTTTGCATGTTGGAATACATTCTATTATATTGTTTTGCATATGTAATCCCTCAGAAATGTATGTTGTATTTCTCTGTAAAGTCAATCCAGGTGGATCTTGGCCCAATTTCTACATTTTTAAACGTTTATGTTTATATAAGTTTGGCAGTGCTGTGATGAAACTGAGAAGAAACCATAGAAGCCGTAAAGGTTCAACTAATCAAACAACAGTCTATTATACAAGAAATAATCCTTAGTTGACAGACTGCAATACACTACAGGAAGTGTAGGGGGCGACATGGTTTCTATTGTTTTGTTATAATAGATCACTTAGGCTAAGTTCACACAGCAGGTAAAAGTGGCCCAAATCTGATTTTCTCACCAATTTTTTTTCTGATTTTCTCTTCGATTTTCCTGTTTGGCTGTTCACATTATCTTTTAAATGTGATCTGTATACGACATCAATCTGAACAGATCAGCTCCTAAACGGACCCGCATGCGCAAAAGAGCAGAGCGTCACGCAGCTCATCCAGAGGTAAACAATCATGACTGCCAACGAACGCCAGTCACTCCCAAAGGGTTCAGCTTCATCTTCACCAGCATCACATGAGCCATCATGAAGCTTCACTGACTCACAGCTGGGCTCATCACCCAGAATGTGTTCGAGCTTGTCATAAAAAGGGCGCGGTCACTTCGTGTCGTTGGATTCTTTAAACTTTGCTTTCAGACTTTTAACTGTTCTTTGACGCTGCAGCCTCGTTCTCCTACGACCGTGTTCGGTATTTCTTTAGAAATCTCTTCAAACACAGAGGGTCTCTAATCATTTTAGGAGTCCCAGCAGTGCAAAATTATGACGAATCCACAGATCGGATTTCAGTACCACATATGAAAGTGTCTTAAATCAGAATTGAAAATGTCAGATTCAGTGTGTTTATCTGTACACAGCCACACATCTGTGCCACAAATGAAGAAAAAGATCAGATTTGGGCCACTTTTACCTGCTGTGTGAACAAAGCCTTAGATGGCATCATGGCCTTATTAGGAACTCTAGGTCCAAGCTGAGTCTCGGCTGAAAACAAGTTTGAGTAGACGGACCCTCCTATTAGGACTTTGATTGATGGGGCGAAGTGCGAGGCAACTGTAGGAGGCGTAATTAATCAAATAAGCCACTACATTAATCAATCATACAAATAACTAAGTTGCAGCCTACTTATAATCCTACAATGCACTGTACAGCTGATCCCAGCGGGCACAGAATACCAATCAGGTATCACCCCAGACAGTCCATATTTTGTGTACGAGTTGTGAGTGGGAGCACAAACGTGGACCGTTCCGAGGGTCCCCGAGGACCGGCCCGCATTCTGAATCGTATTGTGATTTGAAGATGCTGCAGCACGAATGCAGTGACGGCAACACCTCCCTGGATGGGATGAGCAAAGCCGTGCAGAGGGCTTGTTTTTAGGTGTGGTGACGGGTCCATACTGGTGAATGTATCAGTGGACACCTCGTAACACGTTCAGCGTGCCCTTGACTGCAATCCGATGTTTACGAGGCGATGTAAGCCGGAGCATCTCAGCCTGGAACTCAACACAGACAGACTTCTACATAAACACACACAAGAACAATAACCCACCTCCATCTTACTGTTGTCCATGCCGGACAGGGCCATCTCCTCCATTTTCATTTGCAAAGACCAGAAGGGGAAGGCGCTGCCGTCTCTACATGCTGTAGTGCGGGGGCTACGGCAAACAAAAGGGACACACACACACACACACACACACGGCATGAGACAGCAATATTCCCAGCAATCAGATGCTGTGGAGCAACCTCACAGCCTCAAATCCACTATATCAGATGTATATAGTACTAGAAGTTAAATATGCCTGTATTAAACCCTCTGAAAATGAATGTCCACTCCACTGAGAACTGCCCACATAGAGTGCCTGACAGTCCATTAGGGGCAACATTCATCTCCCTTACTGCTCTTATCTGTCTGTACTGCAGTGAATGGATGCAAACTACAAGGCCTACTGGTCAAACACAGGCTGGACACAGAACACGACTTGGACACACACACATCAGCTTAAGTTAGCTTCTTATTCGAATTTTCCGTTCCACCTTAAATGCTGCAGCAGTTACAGTACCGAGCCCGAGGCGCCAGAGCGTAGCTGCTGCACCATTTAAGGTGGAACGGGGAATTCGAATAGGAAGCCAGATTCAGGCTCGTCTAGCGGATAAAGTAAATGAGCTTAAACTGTCCAGCCACTCGTGTAGGCCCTATAGGACCCTGCAGAGCCTAGCTAGGCCCTCTGTTTCTCCCAGCTGGCCTCCAAATAAGACGTTTGGTCCAAATGTTGTAGCTTAGCGCTCGGTGCGGTTCAGCTTTGTGTCCTCTTTTCCTGCTGTTTTACCTCCAGCACAATGGCCGTGGCGGACTAGCTCACTTCTGCCGCCGCTCATCTGCTCCCGACCGCCGCTTAGCTCCCCAAATCCGCTCGCATTCAGGCTCATGAATGACTTTTACTCGGAGAAAGAAGAAAAACCACAAAACAGTCAGAAGGTTGAATCGTTAGCCCCAAAGCCTCCACAGCAGCTCAGTCCTCCATCGGGCTCAGACCTGACTAATCGATCGCGCCGCTCGGAGCCAAGACGGAGCGGCTTAAAGGGGAGCTGCACCGACTTTTCAAAATTTCTGCATAATTAAGCTCTTAATTAATACTTTCCAGCAGTGGAGAACGGAAGCAGATGTCTTGATGTTTACAGCACAAACATAGACATTTAATTTACTATCCCAAACCACCAGTGAGTTTTATATGCAAGGTTGATGATGTTAAAATAAAGGGAAATTAAAAAATATTTTTTTTTCTTGGGGACTATTTTAAAACTTAAAACCCCCTCCGCCATGAACGTAATAAAATGGGCCAACAAAACGTTTTAGGCCAAAACTTTATCACAAAGCATTGCCTAAGGAGGTGAATTCAGAACAATTTGGTGTAATAACTTTCTGTGAGGGAGCTTTCAGAGGTGGATGTCTGGTTCCTATCACCACCACTGTGAACAGTCCAGACTGTAAGTTTCTCTAGAAAGGAGCATTTAACACCAAACCACTCTGAGCCACCTTGTTGACATCTTAGCCGTTTTATTATGTAGAAATTTTGAAAAAGTGGTGGAGTTTCCCTTTACAGCGAGTTAAAGGAGCAGTGCGAGCATTAAAGGATTAAAGGCTGGTCTGTATCATATCATTCCCAGCCTGAAAACAAGTCCCACTCCGGCAAGTGGAGTCGATAAAGATTTGTCCTGTACGATGTCCCTGAGGTGTCACGGTGATTATTTTTAAATAAGGTGTGGCCACAAATTAATATATTGAGCCACAAATTAAGTTCATTGTGGCCACATGGCTTCAATTTATTATTTTGTGGCCTCAAAATATAAAATGTGGCCTCAATATATTAATTCGTGGCTACAGCTTATTAAGAATAATCGCCATGTCACCTTAGGGGCTCCAGAAAATGCTGTCCCACGTTTTCATGTCACTACCAGAACATAAAGTTGTAGTCTGTGGGCGGGACTGTATTTTAGCCACACCCCTGTATTTTAGAGCAGGAAGTGAGACTGCACCCCTGTCCCTCATGGCCACATAGTGAGCAGTTAGATCCCATTACTTTGAACTAAATGTGTCCCAAAGTCTGAAAATCAGAGTGGAACGTTAAGAATTGTCACTACCGAAACACATTTTCTGCAGTTAAGTAAACTTTTTTTGTGTTTTAGTGAAAAATATTATAATTTGATTTGTGTACAGCTGTTCACAGATGTGTTTGCTGGTCAAAATTAGCTTGTCACTTCTGAAACAGTCACTACTGAAACATTTGGTAAGGTTTGAGTAATGTTCTGATTGCTTTGGCAGTATCAAAACGGGATGTTCACTCATTTATTTTAATAAAATAAACATAATTAAGATGTAGGATCACTCAAAGCAAAAGGATTTTAGTCTAAAGTCAGTTAAAAGACCCAAATGTGTTTTATAAAATGGATAGTTCCGGTCCTAAAATCTGATTGGCTGAGCCGCGTTCGAAAATCCACGATATATCACACCATGTCTGGTTCCTATCACCACCACTGTAAACAATTCTGACTCACTTTATCTAGAACAGAACATTTCACACCAACCCACTCTGAGTGACTTTTGTTGACATCTTGATGATTTAATTTTGCTGAAATTTTGAGCTCAACGCGTGTGGCAGTGTAGCAGGAGGAGCCAGCAGGGGGAGCTATTAGCACTCAAGCAGATTTAGTAGAGAGGAACATCATAAACAACAGTTATGGTTATGATTCAGTCATAATTTCAGGAAAAAAAAGCAGCAGGAGTGATATGGAGGAGTGGACGGTGTGAGAACTTGGAAAGGTATCTGGTATTCCACGCACTCAAAAAATGCTTTCAAGGGTTCTTTAGTGAAGAAAATGTTCTATATAGAACCATGAACACTCAAAAACCCCTTTACATGATTAAAGGGTTATTTGCATTGTGAAAGAGTTCTTTAGACTGATGGAGAACGTGCTGTAGATGGTTCTATGTAACACCTTTTTGAAAAGGGTTCTATGCAGCACCAAAAAGGGTTCTTCTATTTTAACAAGCTTGAGATTGTACACTCTTAAAAAAGATGGTTCTTCAAGGGCTCTTTAGTAAACAAAATGAATCTATATATAGAACCATTTTCTTTACTAAAGAACCCATGAAGAACCATCTTTTTTAAGAGTGTACAATCTCAAGCTTGTTAAAATAGAAGAACCCTTTTTGGTGCTGCATAGAACCCTTTGTACAGAACCCTGACTTTGTGTTTAAATACAACCTTATTATTGACATCATTCAGATTGAGTATGTGGTCATCGGGACTGTGTATGTGAACCCCTGCACTACTGCGTTAAAGGCTCCTTCAGCTACATTTGCACTTCTATTAAAATTAAAAATAATTTTTCATTTTGAAAATAACGAAATAAAAAATAATTCTAAATTGTACCAAAACAGAATAACTGAATCAAATTGTGGTGAAATGGAAGATTAAACGATGCATTAAATCATTAACAAAATAATCATAATTGAATGGAATCATGGTGAAATGTGAGACAGAACGATGCCTGAATCGTTCTGTAAAGAATCATAATTGAATCAAACTGTGGTGAAATGTGAGTTATAATGATGCACTGAATCACTTATAGGGAACGCATTAAATCAATTCAGAAAGAATCATACATAACAATGCAATGAATCGTTTCATAAGGAATCATAATTGAGTCAAATTTTGGTGAAAAGTGAAATATAACAATGTAGTGAATCATTTCTTAAAGAATCATCATGAAATCAAACTGTGGTGAAATGTGAGATAACGATGCCTGAATCGTTCTGTAAAGAATCATAATTGAATCAAACTGTGGTGAAATGTAAGATATGACGATGCACTGAATCATTTAGTGAAGAACCATAACTGAATCAAGAATTGAATTGATCCAGATTGTGATCTGTTCACAACAAGCCACCCAAACAGTTTCTTCAGCTTTTTATTTTAACTCTCTGGGCAAAATAATTGACAAAAACTATAAAACAAAACAAGGGTCTCTCTCTCTTTCTCTCTTTCTCAGCGAAAGGCACCTTGGCTTAGTCAAAGAGCAGCAACCCTGGTAAAATAAGGCTTTATTTGTATTGCATTCAATAAAGTGGTCCCCTGATTCTTTCAAATATGAACATATACATATTTTAGGCTTGAGCTGCACAGTTTACAACAGTAAGGCATTCCTTTATGTACCGGAGATGAAGTGCACTCTAAAATAAAAATCTACAAAAACAAAGATCTCATAGCTTCATTAAAGCTGAAGTGGAGGAGATGCCCAGTGTATGAAACTAAATACCTGCGAAACATAAATATGTTTTATGAAAGTGCTTTGGATGCTGCAGTATTGCAAAGCTATGAGATTAAAGTAACACTCTGTGGCGAAATGAACAAGACAAAGGCCTTAAAAACACTAATACATAGAACGCAAATATCATTCAGAGGAGAAACAGCTTAATATTTCATCTATCTACCTTCATCCGATGCTGTACACACTCAAAAAAGATGGTTCTTCAAGGGTTCTGTGGTAAAGAAAATGGTTCTACATAGAACCTTTTTGAAAAGCACTTACAAAGTGTTCTGCTATTGTTATGCTGTCAAGCTTATAACCCCTTTTGCTGCTATATGGGATGCTTTTCATAAAGGTGCTATATAGAACCATATACAGCACATTCTCCATCAACCTGAAGAGGCCTTTCATGATGCAGAGAACCCTTTAATCATGCAAATGGGTTCTGAGTGTTCATGGTCCTAAATAGAACCAATTTTTGACACTAAAGAACCGTTGAGGAAGCATCTTTTTTAGGAGTGTAGGAAGACTTAGAATTGCAGGTGTGTTACACACCGAATATGTTCATTTTTGCCTTCAAAGGTTGAATATATTTACGCAAATAAATACCATTCATCAAGCAATTACATACCAAAGTAGATCAGAAATGTTTTCACATGATGAACATATTTCCGAAATAAATATCATTCGCATCAAAAGTCAATGTGGAACGGAAGATTTTGGCACATTGGCATAACGTGTCTACGACGGCATCCGCGTCTCGGAGTACATGTCCACTCCGGGTTCCTCTTCAAACGTCACTTTGGCATCGTCAGCATCCAACTGTGGATAAAAAAAGAAGAATGGAATGTGGTTAATATGAAAATATGTAGAATTAAACGGTTAACTAGTCATGCATGGCTTATTATGACTATATAGATTGGTATATGTGTCAAATGTGTTACCAAAACTTTGCAAAGTTCACATTTTCCCAATGAAAACACAGCTGTTCTGTGTATGTGGACACCTGACCAGCATACTAAATGAGCTTGTTGGACATCCCATTCTAAAGCCATGGTCATTAAAGTGGATTTGCCCTCCTCCCTTTGTGGCTATAACAGCCACCACTCTTCTGGGAATCTTTCCTCAAGATTTTGGAGAGTGTCTGTGGGAATTTGTGCCTGTTCAGTCAAAAGAGCATTTGTGAGGTCAGGTGCTGATGCTGGACGAGAAGGCCTGGCTCACAGTTGACGTTCCAGTTCATCCCAAAGGTGTATATGGAGCTCGCTGAAACAGGAAAGGCTCTTCCCCAAACTGCTGCCACAAAGTTGGAAGGATATAAGTGTCTAAAATGTCTTTGTATGCTGTAGCATTAACATCACCCTTCAGTGGAACTAAGGAGCCCAAACCGTGAAAAACAGCCTCCTCCACCAAACTTTACTGTGGGCACTATGCGTTCTGGTAGGTAGCATCATGGCATCTGCTAAAGATTCACCCATCATGAATCACTCCAAAGAACATGATTCCTCTACTATAGTGCTTTACACCACTCCAGCCGACACTTGGCATTGCACATAGTGATCTTAGGCTTGTGTGCTGCTGCTCGGCCATTGAAACCCATTTCATGAAGCTCCTAATGCACAGTTCTTGTGTTGATGTTGCTTCCAGAGGTAGTTTGGAACTCTGTAGTTAGTGATGCAGCAGTGGACAGGCCGTTCTACACGCTTCAGTGCT